CTCCTGCATTAGGCAAAGGGCCTCCAGTCGATCGAGTCGACTCGATCGAAGCGACGAACCTGGCATTTGAAGGGACTCAGTGAAGGTGTGCACGTGTGCATAGACAAAAATGGGTGTGCCATGTTTGTTGAGGGTACCCTTTTTGAGGTTGGTTTCAAAGAGAATCAATAGGTAATTATGTTTAGGGGTCCCAAAATGTCCGGTTCTGCGTGATCAAAACAAGCGTCAATGGGTGAGGGCGGGTGCTTATCTGCCTGCTGCACGCGAAAGACATTTGGGCAGCTCGTACACGAAAATTCCAAATGGGAAGCACGTTGCCCTCCATCGAATAATAAACAAATTCTCGACATCAACCTCTCAAGAAAAGAGTGGCGGATGCCCACCGACTAACATGGAAGTGGTCTTGCAAAAGGCGCTTGCACATCTAGGAAACCAGCAACCGGAAATTCCAAACAAGCGTCATCCTTACTTTTGTTGGTGGGTGGTTGCCCAACATCCTGTAGACATGTCCTGTGTTCGGTCTCCATGAGTGCCCCAGACGGTCTTTCCTGTGTCCGATCACCTCGCCTCTGCTCGATCGGAAAACTCCACGCGCCTGGATGGCCTTCTGCCACTGGCCGCCCTGGTCGTAGGCGCTGATCAACGCATTGAAGGCCACCTAAGAAGCAGGCTGTCGCGGCTCGGAAGGCAGCGGAGGTCAACATGAAGGCAGCACGTGCACACTCCAACAAGTTTGTTGCTGGCGCGATACGCAGGGAATGAGAAATGGAATGACCCCAAGAAAATCCATCCAACTGGTGGTTTCCTGTATTCGGGAATCCCTGGCTTCATTCCCACATTCCCACATTCCCTACTGAGCACCAAAGCAAGGGGCCTACCCACTACCCAACAAATTCATGGAACGTGTACAACTCACTATTCGCAGTAGAAAGTAGGACCCACAGGCAGCCGCCTATTGCACACAGCGCAAGCAGCAACAAGTTGCACACGGCGCAAGCAGTAACAAGCAGTATGCCTTTGGCATTTTTCGGGGCTGGCGTGACGGGCGCTGCCTAAGAGAAAGGAAAGGAATGGGGATTGATCAATATTCCCGGCCCCCAAATGACCATGGGTAACGTTTCCAATTGAGTGGCTCCGCTAGTACTGCAGAGGCACATCGCGCTGAAGCCAAAACTCCTCAGTTTACCCCCGAACCAAGCGTTCGTTGGCTTCGCTTCCCAAACAAGGGTCGGCAACACGGGGCTTTCTCTGGAATTCAGCACTTCCCAAAACGACCCGCAAGGACACCAATCTTTGACAAGCCCCCGGTTGAAAACACCTGTGGGTAATGTTCTGGGTTGCTCCAAGCCTTTTGACACTTCCTGTCAAAAGTGCGTTCTGCCCACAAGTTGGAACCTGCACAAACTTTGGGGCGGGGGGTGGGCTTGGGGCTTCCAGTTGCGTCCCAGGAACCACGTTGGGCACCACTGAGATGGACAGCCGCCGCCACGCCGCCGCCGCCTCCTGCCACCTGAAGTTCGCGCGAAGGGTCGTGGCGTCGCGCGGCTTTTGCCCGGCGAAGACGGGGAAGCGAAGGACACTCCGCAGTGTTTTGGCAGTGTTTTGGCTGGGTGGCATTTTGGGTAAAGAGAAACATAAAGAATGTGGCTGTTTGGGACCTCAGTCGGTTTAGGATTTGTTTTGTATTACTGTACTATTGGCTTAGTATTGCTTGGACTCGGCGCAATATGAAAGTTAGATGCGCTCAAAATGATCTTCTTGAGTGTCTGGGAAGGAGGCTCTGCTTACGAATAGAACCTCTCCTTGTAAGAAAGCCCTGCTTAGCAATATGGAGGCCCCATATTAACAAATACGGGCTTATTAATCTTGGCTTGACATTGCCCAAGGGACAGCTCAGTCTTTTGGCAATGCTAACTTCGGATTAGTCTCAAGGACCCTACTAGTCAGAGCCCCCCTGCTCCAGCTGGTGCTCAGAAGGGAATGAAGGAATGAACCCCGGGGTCGCCTTGGCCATTCCATGTCTCATTCCCTACTTATCGCACCAGCAAGTACTCACCAGCCTATAAAAATATCCGGGACAAAAACCGCACGACACCCACTACGCCAAAAAACAAAAAACTACAAGCCCTAAGGAACCGCCTCCCCCCCTGAACCACAATCACCCCCCCCCCAGCCCATTACCCAAGCTCAGCCAACCCACCCAACGCCCACGCCTCGCCGCCCGGCCACAGGCGCTCACCACCGTACTCAGCGTCACCTCGCTCAAGGTCACCTCGCCGCTTCCGCTTCGGGCGAGGAGCTCCGCCAGCAGCGCCAAAACCTCCCCGCGGACGCCAAGCCCCACCCGTGTAAAGAGAAAAATATGCGGCCGAGTGTGGAAACGACAAGGAACCCCAGAACAGAAATTGAAAGAAGAAAAACATATATGCAGATAGTGTGTTTACAAGATGAAAGCCGCTCTGAGAGTTCCTAAGAGCTCCTATATAAAAAGTCCTTAAGAAGGTCCTGGAGAGTCTTGACAGATCCCGAAACGGCCCTGAAAGTTTACAAAAAGCGTTTGGGAAGATGCTCTTCCCCTCTTGTCCCCTCGGACAGGACTTGCCTGGGTCCACTGGCCCGCTTTGCCACAGGCGTCCAGCGCGGCGTTGAAGCTGATCACCGTGGGCCGCACAGTTTGCGAAGGAAGGGACCGCAGGAAGAACAGAGCCAGGGCCCAGTCAGCAGACCTATGGCACCCATTGGGATGTCGAGGCAGGAAATTCTTGGGCACTGGAGGTGCTTCTTTCTTGAGCTTGCGGTTTTTGTTGTTTCGACTGACGCCTTTATGAGGGTCTTGATCCTTGCCCGTCTCGTGAGAGCTGGAAGCTTCACGCATGCATGGTTCTTCCTTTTGCGAACCATGCTTACACCCTGTTGTCCCTTTTCCACCCCTATTTGGCCGCAAAGTAAACTAAAAGTTGGCGGCCCTCAGCACGAACGAGCTCTTCCCGGCCCATGTTTGGCTGGCTTTGGTCCAACCAGCCGTCCGAAATCGGAGCAAACCTGTATCCTAACATAAGCCCGCCCTCCAACCCCGCTTGGCCCCCCCTTCCCCCGTGTTTTCCAATGAGACATGGGTTGGGGGGCCGTGAACCAGGGAAGCCCGGGAATGCGGCCACGGAAAGTTCGGCCCAATCCCACCTAATGAGGCAATTGTAGGTCACCACATCCGCCCGGAGATGCCGCGCCTGGGTCGGCCAACCACAAGGGGTCCTTCCAAGCCGCTGGTTAAAACCTTGAAGCTCCTGGTGTCCTCAAACCCCTTCAGTCAACATGAAAAAAAAAGCGCTGCTTCCTGCTAAGCCAGGCGCTTTGCTTTGAACAACCTCGTCCTTCTTCCTTTTCGTGTGACCACAGAAAGGGCCTAATGGTTTCCCTTCAAGAGAGTCCCCTTCCAACCACTTCATTCCACCGACACCCACTGGCTCGGAAGGTCATGCTCTACCTATCGCACCCCGATTTTTGATTCAAACCAACAGCCTCGAAGTCTTGCAGCAAGCCCAAAGAGATCTGCCACTGCGATCCGCGGGCGCAGGCGCTCAGGGCACTGTTGTAGGTGAACCTCGCGCCATTGAAGGTGAGCTGACTGCGCTAGCTATGAAGAGACAAAAAGAAATTTGTCATGGGTGGAAAATGGCGATAGATGCTTCTGAAACGGCTTTGAATGATTATAGACGAATGGTTATATAAATTGATGAGTGTAAAAGGTTCGGCAGACGTTGCTAGAATTGTTTACATGGGCCTCACTTCAACCCCAACGCCAGTCTACTAAAAGGCCAATGGTGGGAAATTGAGTGGGCCCACTCGCCAAACTTACGGTTACGCTCATAGGCTCACCTTCCAAAAAGTATCACTTTGTGTTGGGCCAAGAGGTGATTTCGAAAACTAACCGAAGGCAGCCAGCCAAGCGGCTAATCATGCCCCTAGCAGAGCTGCGCAGCTTGCCTTTTTGAGCTAGAAGCCTTCGCTACGCTTGAATGGGCATCGATTTTGGCACTCGACTTGAAAGGGGATCCGGCCCCTTGTGCGCGGACAACTTGTTCCTTTTTGTTTTTAGGAAAAAATGGAAGCAACCCGGCGATCTCTTGTCTGCCAATCACTGAGCATCGCACACAGAAGGCTCGGTCTTGTGCGCAAACACCGCCGTCAACAAGTCCAAGGCTTGCCGCCACTGCGAAGCCTTCTCACAAGCGCTGATGGCAGAGGTAAAGCTGAACACATCTGCGAGGTCTTCCTCGCGAGGCAAAAACTCGTCAATTCGCCAGGGCCCCTCTTTTTTGTATATGGGTACCCAGTGTTTGTTGTTTTCAAAGGAAGGGACGCCGCGTATTTTGGGGGTTCCGTAAAAAAACAAATCCGTGCGAGGTGTTGTCAAAATTAGGGGGCCCTTTTTAGTATCCGCTAGCGGCACGAAAACATCACGTCCAAAAGCAGGCCATGTTTTCCTGTCAAGGCCGCCTTTTGGGCCGCTCGACCATTCCTCTTGAGCAAACCTCAACTCATCAAGGCGTCTGGGGTGCGGTCAAAAGGTACGCAGGGTTGTACTTGGACCAGCCCAGTTAGCTTGCGGCTACTAACCCTACCTGAGAGAATCAAACTCGAGATTTCAACATCAAAGCCGGAACCCTAACAATACCCTTGAGGGGTGGCTTCCCTTTAGGGGGCAAGTTTGTTACGTTGCTGGACCACGTGCAAGCTATGAGTTCGTTGGCCTCCCCGTGTCGCATGCATGCATGCCACCCAGTGATGGACCAGCCCGGTTAGGAAGAGGCTGCATGAAAAAAGTCCCCTGAGAAGGACCTACCCTGCTTACAGCATGATAGCCACGCTGGAAAACCCAAAGAAAAACCATATCAGGTGTCCAAATCTCCATTTTGGCACATGGGTGTGTCTCAAAACAGGAAAATCGAAAACACGCGCACCCCCATACCCATTCGAATCGATCGTTGAGGCCAGCAGCGGCGATCAGCGCGCCCAGCAGATGCACGGCCTGCTGCCAACGTCTGGCCTTGCCGCAGGCGCCGATCGCCGCCTGCGCCTGCTCCGAGACGGACGCGGTCAAGCGCGAGAGTCTGACTCCGAACGGGAGACGCCACCCGCTCAAAACGCCTGTTTGAAGTACGCCAGAAGGTGCTAGGAACCTTTTGGTGGAAGAATCTAATGGGTTCAAAGGGTTGCATCTACATTCTCTTGGTCCAAGGTGCCCTTCTTGGGGAGCGTCGCACCTTAGGAAGCCAGAAGGTTCTACCACACTTGCTCAGTTTGGGTAGACCTGCTGATTTTGTGCAAGGAACCAAAGGAAACTCGCTCGGCCCCTGTCCTCCCCGAATCAAACCATAGACCAGTAATATTGTCCATCGCTGCGGTTTCGGCCCTGTTGACAAAATTGACAGCGGGAAAAAGGAAGACCCGCATAGGGGGACCTCCTTTTGGTGTCTTTTCAAAACCACAAGACATAGGTGTTTTCAATAAAGGGCACAGCTATTTGCCAATCATTGGTTGGCCCCTTCAATCATCTACCATGTTCCTAGGTATTTCTGGTAGCTCTTTTGCTCCCTCTTTACAGGCGACACCCCCAAATCCTTGGCCTCCACCCCCCAGCAAGACTAGTCCCCGTATCTTGGTTGACGTTGGAAAGGGAGCAAAAAATTAAATGTTACGTAGCTAAGTGGGGATTTCAACCACTAAACCACGAACAACCACCATGGTATAGTGAATGAGCAACCTGGTTTTCGACTCCCCCCGCCTTCCGTACCTTCCGCGCCGCTTCTGCACGCTCCACGCCGCCTGCGCCGCCCCCGCGCAGAGCTGGGGGCGGGGCCGGGGATCCCATGCCGAGCCATGGGCTCGAAACGCCGCGGCATGGCGATGGCCTTCGCGGCGTTTCGCCAAAGCCGGGGGGGTCCTGAGAGGCAACATATGAGCTGGTTCCTTCCCCGAACTCAGCGGACATGGACTCTTTTTGGGACTCTTTTTTGTGTGGCGTTGTGTTGTGCTCTGTCTTTGTGTTTGTCTTCCCCCTGTAGAAAGCCCATAGCACTTGTTGAGGCGGCTTGGTTTGTGTTTACTGCTTCGGTGCTTTGTGCATGTGGTTCCCCCGCAGAACTGCCGACTGTGATTCCTTGTTACTCCTCCGCAAGCCTGTTTCCAACCAGCTTGCCTCACTTCAGATCGAGTGGATTGGCGCTGAAATTGACTCGATAAGTTTTTAAAGTCCAGGAACTCAGGAAGTGAGTTGCCGATGTGTTCAACTTCCCCGTAGGGACTGGACACGGCAGCTCCTACACGAGCGCCGGGCCGAGCAGAAGGGCACTTGGCAAGCTCACGATGATTTCCCTGCACTCGTAGAAATTGTCTGTTTGAATCCCCCAGGAAGGGGAGGTTTTGGGCCCCCTTCAGAAAATGTGATTCAAAGCAGCCCCCAGATGTTCCCCTGAGCTTTATCACTTTCGAAGCGGGAACTGGTGGGCGGCGAAATGCAAGCTGTGGCTCCAAACTCCAAACCAATTGTCCCCGGACAAGTCAACCTGCCACATTTATCCGGGCGAATTACTAAGATTCACAAACAGGAAATGCGCAAGACCACTAATAAGGGAGAATCATCATGGGTAAACTCGTGCGAAGGATGCCCTCTTAAAGGAGACACACACACACACACACACCCATTGGCAGTGCCTGGGTCGATGTCACAAAGAGGCACGCGCAATTTCCGAACTCCGCCCTCTGTCCTGTCTTGAGGCACGGTGAAACCAAGGCAGCAAATTAGCTAGGCTATGAGGCCATGAGCGAGTGGTGGAAGCAACAGAACCCCAAAACGCATTTCGGGGCGCAATGGTGTTCTCTTCCTCTCTCTTTTTTTTTGGGGGGGGCTCCTGTTCTGTGGTGCTTGAACAGGACACCAAAAGGAAAATCGCAAAGCATTGCTGGCCCCAGTTGAAGTGAAGCACAGAAGGCTTCGGAACCCCGGGACCCCGGGACCCCGGAACCCGCACCAAACTTGGAGGCTTTAGGTGTTGGGTTCCCATGAATTCCGAGTCAACTGCTTGTTCAAGACAAACCGGTGTTTGGGGGCGCGACACGGAACCTGCCAAAAAGCGGGCGACGTTGGGTTCCCACGTTCCTACTTTCGGATAGAGCATGGCACACCCTCAGGCCGGCTTCATGGACGCGTTCGCCTGCACCTGGCATGTCTGGCGCTCAGTTTCGCCAGCCACGGGCGGGTTGGTACTGTGGATGGACAAAATCCTGCACCACTTTGAAACCATGGGAAACCATTGTTTGTTACTTACAGGGGAATCATCATTGTTGCGGGGTCTCTTAGGTGGTGCAGGATTTCGTCCGTCCACAGTATTTCTACCCTCCCAAAACGAGGCTTGCAAGCGGGGGCGCCGACACATCTTGCTGTGGGATGGATGGAGTCCATTTTGCACCACCGTTCAGAAATCCTGGAATGATGTGATTCCCCTGTAAATGCCAACAAAGAATGGAGTTCCACTCATTTCAACTTGGTGCATTTCAACCAACGCTCCCAGCCGGCGATGGCTTTTGCTCCCAACGACTCACGGGTGGGAGCGTGGCTCCCTCAGACCAATGAAAGGCTACTTGAGTGCTCGATTCGAGTTCGTAAGTGGTTGGTTACCTATAACCTCATTCTTATGAGTGGGTTGGGCCGGCTGAGTTGGGCCGGTAAGTAAGTGCCCAGGTTACTAACTACTCACCCAAGCAGGCACCCCACCGCTTCGTCTCTTGCCGACTCCGTTCTTTGGGCTGAGAGAAGGAACTTGCTGGTGCACAGTAGGGAATGACACAGAGTGTTGGGAATGAACCTAGGGATCCCCTTAAAGGAACGGAAAGGGATGGTTTTTCTCGGGGTCATTCCACTTCTTCCCTGCTATCGAACCAGCAAGAGAAGGAACTTCAGGAGGAAAAGGTTGGAGTCCAATGCTTGTGCAAAAGGCAAAGGAAACAAACATCTATGAGTGGCTCGTCGCTCGTGTTCAAAGGGAAACCAGAAGGAAAACCGAAATCCATTTTGGGGGGTCTCCCAAGAAACACACCCATAATAACATATATACCTCTCAGGTGTGTCTGCGGCAAACATTTGTCCAAAACGCCCAAGGGCCGTCCAGTCTGACAGGCTGAGACGGGAAGGCTTGGCGATGCCCTCAGACCCTTCAAACATCATTTTAACAGGAGCATCTCTTGTAGTTCAGGCGGCCATACAGGTATCCCGTGCAAGGTCCAGCACCATCATTTTTCTGGAAGGATTCGGGTCTTGAGAAGTCCATCAAAATGTGGCTAGGGACGCAGTGTTTGTGGCGTTTACAGGGAAACTAGAAGGAAAACAGAAATCACTCGGGCAATACTAGGTGTAGTTCCCCGCCCTTCTTGTGTTCTGGTTGTAGACTGGAAACCAACCGGGGGGAAAAAAACAATTAAAGGAAAGAAGAAGAAAAAACAGGCTCGAAACATCCGCATGTCGGTGTTGTTCCTTTAACAGGAGACAACGACCCTCACCCGTCGAAGCGCGCCCGGCCGCTCCTCAGCCTTCCAGGGAGGCGGGAACGCCGCCGAAACGGCGCCGGGTGTTTTTTTTGTGGTGAAACGCGTGGTCGGGAAAAACGGGAGGTCCTTTTTGTTTGGGGACCACCCATTTTTAAACGCCCCAAATTTTTAGACAAGCCCACATACTGTGGATGGTTGCGAAATCCAGATCCCGCACCGCGAAATGAAACCATGGCTGAAACCATTGTTTGGTATTGGGGAATCAGCAGAAACCAGAATTTCTTAGGTGGTGCGAAATGGATTTTGTCCATCCACAGTACCAAATACAGAAGCGGATGTTTGATCAGCTTCCCTCGAAGTGGTGGTTTGGACTGGTGGTTTGGTGTGTGAGATTAGGGGTGGGAAACCCCATTTACCCTCTAGAATGAGGGGTTCAAATCCCAATTCAAACCACCAAAGGGTACCTGAAGGTTTGCCTTGAAAACTGACTGAAAGGATGACGCATTCTCGAATCAAAACGACACACCCATTCATTTCTGGCAATGTCAACCTCCAACTCCCCAAGTGGAAAGAGAAAACTCTCTCTTTGGATCACGTCTGGGGCCAACCAAAAGTCCACTGTCTTCCCACTCGTTCCACTGAACTCCTGGAGCTTTCGGTGGATTGCGAGGCCAAAAAACGGAGCGTTAGGTCGAAGCCTTGTGAGGTTTCTCAGTGGGAGCGATTTCGGAGTGGGAAACCCATGTAGATCAACAAATAAGCTCAGAAGATATCCCAACAGCATGCGGTGCTCTTTTTAGTGCAGCCCTGGCAGAACCTCGTGGAACCCTCTTGGAACCCTGGTGGAACCCGGGTAAAAACCCTCGTGGAACCCTTGTGGAACCTTACCTCAGGGCCGCCCCGGACCACCCCGGAGCCTATCTGGGCCTATCGACCCCAAAGCTTTCAGCTGTTGGGGGAAAAAACAACTTGGAGAGAAACCTTTTGGGCAGGAACCCAAAAATTGAACCCCAAAAATGGAACCCAACACACAACGTGAGTTTTCAGAGGAACCGCCCATTCGCGGCGGGAAGGCTGTTCATGCCTGAGAACCAATGTCGCGGTTCGAACAAAAAAGGTCTGCGACCTTCGATCAAAGGCGAAGGCGAATCTTCAAAGGGCCGAGTCTTTCTTACGTTGTACATCAATCCGGGGTCAACAAGAACAGGAGGCCGAATCTTTGGCCAGCCCGTCCACCCGTCCACCCTGCGCCTTCTCACAGGCGCTGATGGCTGCGTTGTAGGAGATCACATCCGGCGCCCGCCTCGAGTGGTGGCGTTCTCGGGGCAAGCGGAAGACGTTGACATAACCCCCCCCCCCCCAGCCAATTGCTCGGATACCCTGCCCGTTCTGTCGTAGGATAGAAGTTTAAATCTTAGTGAAGTGGGTAAACTGGAAACCCAAGCACTAAAAACAATCAAACACCGCTAGAACACCTAAAAACCTAAACAAATGGCTGGACCCCCCAAGGTGCTCTTCCTTTCATGTTCCTCTTAAAACCAACCCAAAAAGGAGTTTCCTTTAAACATGTGAATATATATATAATAGATATATATATATATACATATATACATTATAAGAAAGAAGGGGGGGAAAAAAGAGAGAAAAAGAAAGACATGCAGAGAAAGAGAACCCGCCACGTTTCCAGCACCCGCCTCGAGGCCCGCAGGTGGCACAGCAGGTCCAGGGCGGGCCGCCAGAAGGTGCCCCGCTCGCAGGCGGTGATGGCGGAGTTGGTGGCCACCACCGATCCGGCGCCAAGGCCTCTCTGACGCTCAGGTTGGACGCGCCACGAGCTGGGAGGGGAAAATTCGCCAAGTGAGCAGGTTCTTGGGAACCTAAACCATCAATAAGTCCCCTAAGTGGGGGCGAACCACTTGCTAACTTGGCCAAACAGCCAAGTAGGCTTCCTTTTGAAGTCCCTTGAAATACCAACCAAAAGGACGTAGACCATTTTGAGCAACTCCCAACACGGCCTAAGGAAAGAGAATGTGTTGAATGAGCTGGAGTGACATCGAACCCCCCTCTTTGAGAGGTTAATCCGCGTGAGGGAACTCAAAAGGCGCCAGCACGCTAATTTCTTTACGGAAGGCATGTCAAGCATGGAATGCTATCATCACCAGAGCTCGCAGTTGGCACAAGGCGGAATGGCCAAGGGCGCCACATTGCGGTGCATCAAGTGATGGCAGTCCCTGTGATGAAACACTTTGCGCCCGGGGCAAGACATGCACTGACTCAAAGCGGCGAGGGTGGAAAAGCGGTTCCTTGCACCCTGTCCGAAAGCGGTGCTGAAACCAAAGCCAACAGAAGAGGCATGAAACCGCGGACACAAGCGCTGTATATAAAAGGCAATGCAAATGCCCAAACAACCAAGGACCTAAGGCCCTTGTGTTGAGTTCAGGGCTTGAGCCAAGATGGCTACGGCGCAATAGATTCACAACAAACCTCAAAACACAAGGGAACAAAAACCCTAAGCGTTGTTTTAAGGGCCCGGGGACGGCCTTGGCGCTCCTTTTCCGCTTGGTGGAGATTGCCTTGGCACCAAAAACACCGTGCAAGCAAGCAATCGCAAGACTCGCCTCATGATGAGCAACCTGAACCTTCAACTCGCACACCTGCTGCTTGAGCTCCTCATTCTGGCGGTTGCTCTCGTACAACGCGTTGTTGAACTTCTGCAGATCATCTTTCAGGTGCGCAATCTCACTCTCATGTGATGCAAGCTTCACCTCCCGGTCCCGCTTCTCCGCCGACAAGGCAATGACCATGCGTTGCAACTGCTCAATCTCACTGCGGGCATTCGCATATGTTTCTCGCACTCCTCAGGGGGGGGGGGGGGGGCGGATTGGCCAAGCAGTGCAATTCAGTCCAGCCAGCCTTCTGCGTGTGAGTGTCCTTCCTCTTGAAATAGGACGGTGGCCTTGGTGCAGAAATTGGGAAAAACGATACAAGACACAAGATCACTGACATCGTGACTTGCGCTTATCGCCTGCGCATTGAGCCGAATCGCTCCTGACATGTGAGCAGCGCATGGGGCGTGTCCCGCCGTGAAGGCTGTCCTGACGTCGCCCTTTGCAGTTGTTTGAGGCTAGCCGGCTGCATTCCCAGCATTCCCCACATCTCTGGTATTTTCTGTGTTTGGTCAACGTTGCATGTCTGAAAGTCTTAAAATCTTGAGCGCGAAGATTGGGTCTGTTCCTGTAAGTTGTGTGGTTGCATCCCTTGCATTTCCAGCATCCTCAGCATCTGGGGCATGAAAAACAGGAAAGTGCCAAGAAGGCCTCGTTGTACTTACCAAAAAATGGGGCCTTGCTTTTATACCCTTTCGGGGGGGCTTAAAGAGTAGACCCTAGTGTTCTTATCCTGTCACGTGTTCAGCCCTGCGGCCGAAGTCAGAGCGGCGGTGTTTGCATTCTCGTTAAGAGCCCCATGACCTAGGCAAAAAAAACATCTTTTTCCTTACCCCAAATTCAAGGCACCTCAGAGGGGCGTTGTTTGTTCTCCTTCCACAGGGGCGTTGCTTGTTCTCTTTCCAGGCGTTAAGAGACCCATGTGACCTAGGCAAAAGGCCGTCTTTTTCCTGACCCCAAACTTGAGATACCCTACCGCCGACGTCAGAGGGGCGTCGTTTGGTCTCTTTTCACTTGTTGAGAGCCCCATATGACCTAGGCCAAAAAAAACGTCGTTTTCCCTGCCCCAAATTCGAGGCACTCTGCAGCCGACGTCAGAGGGGCGTTGCTTGTTTGTTCTCCTCAACACGTTAAGAGCCCGATGTGACCTAGGCAAAAAGACGTGTTGTTCCCGGCCCCAAATTCGAGGCACCCTGCAGCCGACGTCAGAGGGCCTTGTTTGTTCTTCTTCCACGCGTTAAGAGCCCCACGTGACATCAGCCCCAGTTTATTAATAGGGGACTGTGCACTGGCGTCGGCGGATCGCGTAGCGATTTCAATAGCCAAAGAGAAGGTGATGACAAATTGTTGCTAAGAAGTCTATTGAAGCACAAATAATTAAGAGTTACTGTTCAAATCGTTGCCTTCTGCAGGCCTATGTCTGTCTCTTGTTTGTAATAATGAACCATCTTGCTATCATATTTAGACTGTGTTGTGTCTTGCCTATATGTTCATGTCTTATTGCGCGTTACCTTCGGAATCTGTTTCAAACTGACACCCTTGCAATCTTCCGTGCTATGATGGGCTCGGAACGAAACGTCTGGGAGACAGGGCCATCCTCTTGACAGCCCTTGCCCCTTAGGGATGTGGGAAAAATGGGAACCCAAAAAGCGAAAGTCAAACGGTTGGCTTTGAACAACTGAGTCTATCATTTATTTTCTTTGGTTACCTTCTCTCATTTGTCTCACTCGTAAGCTCTCCAAGAATAGAATTACCATGATTGTAGCTCCTGGAGAGATAGGTTGTGAGTACGAGAATTATGGCGTTCCTTTGCCTTCGTCTTGGCGCGGTACAGTTCGGACGCGGAATCTGAATCTATGGCGTGCAAGGTGCTTCAAAAATACTAAGGGAGTAATCAAGAGCCTGGCTTTCACATAGAAAATACGTCTGTTCTTAGTCAGGGGTGGACATCCTACCCAAGAAGGGGTTGACATTTGGAGTAGCGGGTAACCTTTTGACCCCATCGGACATAGACGGGCAACAGGAAAACTAAACAGGTTCTTCACAACCATACAACCATCCAAACAAGGGTTCCCCAAAGCAAAAGAAAACAACGTGGTTTAAAAGACTAGTGGGAATCCTGGACATTGTCCCAGCCAGCCCTCTTTTTCTCATGTCCTTGGGAGACCTTGGTAATGACCGTGCTCATCTGGGTGTGTGTTTTTTACTATGAGTCACAATCAAAACCCGGTAGTAAGAGTGGTCTACCCAGAACCATGCTTCAAGAACTGAACAGGCGGAACTCCCCATCCACTTTGGCAAGGGGATTGCCCCTTACCCTCCAAAAACGCCCGGGTTTTGAGAGTGTTTCTCCTTATTTGTTAGGGGACCCCCAAGGAGATGGACCGCAGGTTTTAGTCCATTTACCTGCATTTTAGGGGTTGCCCTGACAACCACAGCCAGCTGCCTCCCACAAACCCACCACCCTCCACCCCAAACCCCCACCCCCACACCCCCAACCCAACACCCCCACCCACCCCACCCCACCGCACTTTGCCCCCCGGACGCCTTCCAAGGCCTGCAGAAGGTTCAGCGCCACCAGCCACTCCCCGCCGATGGCGGCGTTCCCGATGATGCCTTCGCCCTCGCAGCGGAACCGAACCAAAACTCCGCCGGCCGCTTTGGGCGGAGTGGGGGTCCCTTTCGCTTCCTTTCGCTGCGCCCGGAGGAAGAAAAAAATGAGCCCATGCTCCAAATTGCGGGTGGTGTCCATTTCAACCATGGATCAGCTTGGGAAAGACACACCCAAAAGAGAATCCAATGCCCCACCATGGGAGGATGAGGATGATTCTTCCAGAGGCCACTCAGAAGCTGAGTCCTGGGCCTCTGTTCGGCGTCAACACTACGAAAACAGCCTTTTAGGTGCTTCGCAAAAATGATGGGACATACCCTCGGCGTAGGGGCACCAATAGGACAGAACACCCCAACCCACCCCCCTCCCCAAAACGCCACATCCACGCACCAAGAACCCCCCCTCCCCCTCCCTCCCCACAGCACCCGCCTGGGACCGCCGCGTCGCCTCCGCCAGCAGCGCCAGCGCCTGCGGCCACCGCGCCACGCCGCAGGCGGCCACGGCCGCGATCCACGTCACCGCGCTGAAGGCCAGGCCTCGCCGCGCCGCCGCCGACAGCTCGCCCAGGGCCTCGAGCGAGCGAGGGGGGGAGGGGGGGAGGGGGGGGAGGGGTTGCCTTTTCCACTGAAATGAACCGCCTCCCTTGAGAAGGGGTTGCGAAGAAGCAGCGGAAAGAAGCGGAAAGGCGTAGAGTCGCCAAGGCGGCGGAGCCGGCGGAAAAAGACAAGTGGAACTCTGGAGGTGTTTGTGTTTCTTTGCGGGTTTTGAAATCTATTATTTGAAGGTCTGATCCAATGCTGACCCCATTTTAATCGACCCCAAGTTCAAAACAAAAATGGGGGTGAGGACGCGGGTCGGTTGATTCCCCACTAAATCCAGGGACACCCCCATATTGATGTACAGGGGTTTGTTGATATGGGGTCAACATTACCCAAGTACCCAGTGGATTCCCGGTGCCCCTTGTTTTGGAGGAGGGGAACTTCTTTAAAAACCAACCAAGACCAACCTTTTGGAAATCTGCGGAAACTCACTATCCTTCTTCTTGCTGGTGCGATTGGAATGATTCGACCCCCCCTGTAAATACCAACAATCCACAGTATGGGGATAAAACCAAAGGCGCACCCCGACAGATTGAAACTGGGCAAATTCGCGGAGTGAGGTACCATCTATATGGCTCTATTTATATATATATATATATTGAAAAAATAAGAGCTTGTGCCACCTTTGAATGTATGTATGTATGTGTGTGTATATATATATATATATATATATTGGGGATGGTGCCTTATAGCAATTTGGAGATCAACACATTCAGAGCAGTTGGGAGGAAAAGCCATGCGGGGGTTCGGGACCTCCCGTTTTCGAACGCCCGAAGCTGCTGCCTGCTTGCCGCCCATTGGAGCCACTCCGGGTTTGAGAGACGAAAGGAATCGAACAGGTTTTGGGGATCAAACCAAAACAAAACATATTCCAGGGATCCAAAAAGGAAACAGGTTTTGTGATCCAAGACCAGAATACGGATCCAGGTAATCCAGGGATCCAAATCTCTTGGATTTTAGTGATCCTAATTAAAAAAAAAAAAAAAACAGGGGATTCGGAGAAATACTTTGTTCTTGGCTTTGGCGGGGGCGCTGGGTTGCCTCTGATCCACCCACCCACCCACCCACCCACCCACCCACCCACCCACCCACCCACCCACCCACCCACCCACCCACCCACCCACCCACCCACCCACCCACCCATCCCAGTTGACTCAACGCGTGTCTCTTGCCTGTTGCCACTTGCCACCCTTCTCGCAGGCTGAGATCACCGCGTTGTAACTCACGATGTCCGGCTGGCAGCCCTCAAGGCGGCGATCGATTTTCGATGTTCAGCTCGGAGCTTAGCTTGCCCCTGCCGATTTCGGGCGTGGATGGCTGGTTTCAAACAACCGGGAAGATCCAAACCGTCGTCCGTAGGGGAAGCACAAGGAAGGGTCATTCACGGAAAATGAACACAACTTGTTGCTGGTTCTCAACAGGGAATCGTTTGAGGGGTTTTGAGGGGCAAGGAGATTCAAAGGAGTCATTCCCTCGCTTCAAAGACTTCCCTCACTGACCCCCAGACCAAAGCCCAAAGAAGAAATATGACAGCTAAGCCTCATTTAAGGCTTGTTTACCCCTTATTGACTCTGATTCTTGGCTTGTCCTGAAGGGGTCTATTCCCTACTGAGAAAGTTCCAATGATCGTCAGCTCCCCTACTCCAAGCACCCCGCCCTCTCGCTCGGGTATGATGGCAACCCCTGATGCAAAAAAAGGCATCTCTTGACACGGCGCGAGGACCCCGGACTCACAATCACCCGGGTGGATGGTCACAGGGTCCACGCGGCGTGGTGGCTTTGTACTTTTGGGTTCTAGATTATTTTAGCCTTTTGGGGGGGGGGGGTTAAACCCCCACCTTCTCCGGAGAGCAACAGGAATTTGAATCCCCGGAACACCTCCGCACCAGGACCCAATCCGAAGCAAATCAAGGGAAATGGGAGGTTGATCAATATTGTTGGCCAGATGACCGCGGGTAGCTTTTGCCATTTAATGGTTGAGATATCATCTTTGTAGTGGTTTCCCCGAATGGTCACTTCGTAAAGGACCTTTTGATCTACCCCCATATCAATAATGTTTGCTTTACAGAAAATAGGGTGGCCCGTTGTAGGGGGAAGGGACGACCCCGCCCCCCGCCCCCGATACAAAATTTGCAAATGAGCAAATGTCAAAGTTAACATCGTTTGCTGTAATCAAGGGGATGATATTGGAGCCACCCACCAAATTACCAGTGAAAAAGGGGGTTGCTCACCAAATTCCCACGTCAAAGTGGATGCAACTAATAGCAACAGCGGCCAAAATCAACTGGTGGGCTTCAGCAACAACTACTACTTTTGACGATCCAATCACGTGTGGGGAGAGAGGTGGAAGGCCGGAAGGCCACTTTTTTCTCGACGGGACCTTTTACCTGTCAGGTGCCATGTTAGTGAGACATGCCCTCCTCACAGCAATGTTTGCTTGGATTCCCCATTTTGGGGTAGTTCGGGCACCTCATGAGATTGGCAGACCCACTTGGGTTCAACTCTCTCTCTTTTTCAGCCGGAACCAGTGCTTTCCTTCAACTGCCTTCCACAAACATGGTAAGTGGAAACAGGAGAGTTCCCACGAAGAAGCCGATCGCCTCAACCAGCTATGTTGGCTCGAAAGGGACACCGCCCCACAAGACATGCTTGGGTGTACAATGTCAGCCCTAACCAAAGAGAGCGGCATTCACCCTGGCAGCTCTGGTTATGCAACATATACCCTTGGACTGAAACAGGTATTTGGAGCCGGCAGATTTCGCAACAACGATCTCCCAAAGTCCAACGTCGTTACCCTCCCACCAACAAACATGGAACCTGTCGTCATTTTCAAAGGGACCGGGCTTTCCGACCATGTTCCTTTTACAATAACCGGGTCCCGAACGTCAGGTTCACTGTGAAAAGGGTGGGAAGGTATAATGGAATCTACCATGTCCTTAACCAGAACTCCATTTCGGTAGCTCCGAAAGGCTCCCTCTGAGCGAAGGCGAATTTGGCTACCGGGTCCCAGCCAGCATCTGGGTGTGTTTTTGCTTGGGCCAATTTTTTTTGCTTTTTCTGTTCTTCCAAGATTCTTTCTTGAAAAAGGGGTCCCCTTTGGTGTGTGAAGGGAAAACCGAAGGGAGAGCCATCCATTTTGGGGCGGAGGTGCTCCCCTGCGCCCTGCGCCTGCGCAAGGCGGCTAAGAAGTTGCCCGTGACGAGCCTAAGGGACTCCGGTATGTCGGGTTTTGAGGGTGGGTCTTCGAAAAGGAACGGAAAATATTGGTTCGAAGGGAAAAAGGCACCCAGGTTTTGGGGATTTTTCGAGGGGGAACGGGGAGTATTGGTTTTAAAGGGAAAAAGGCACCCAGGTTTGGGGATGGACCATTTTTTGAGACAAACCCAAAGCATGTTCGCAGCTCTGGCGCGTTTTCGTTCGTAACTTTAAGGCACACCTGCCATGTACAGCTTGGAATTCAAAGTGTCTGGCCCTGTGTGACCAAAACAACCAGCTAAAAAACCGGCAGGAAATTTATATTTAAAAAAAGCTTGTTTTTTGGGTGGGTACTTGCCCAACTTCCTGTAGAGATTCATGTCTCAGGTCTCCATGAGTGCGCCAAACCATGTTGGAAGAGGAAAAAAAGTCCTCGTCCTCCATTTGCTTAGGCCCCCTCAAAAAAATACAATATGTCCAGTAGTGATAGATTCCCTTCAAAACCAAAGGGTAAAAAATATGAGACTACAGTAGCTTTCGCTTTTTGCCTCTTGGCTAACCCCTTTACAACCACCTCGCAAAGGGTGGCACCGGAGAATAAGAAAAAAAAGACAGAGCTCCCCCCCACAAAACCCCCTGAAACAGAAAAAACACGGGCTGTTTGGAGCAGGACCGGGTAAGCCTGTTAGCGGGATACCCAATCCCTACCTACTAACTTGGCGGATCGAACGTCCAACGCCTCCTTGAATAAAAAAATCAAACTGGGCTGTCCTCAAATCTCTTGCCAGCTCAGGAGGTAACGGAGCAGGAGGTAACACGAGACGGCGCCGGCGCCCTCGTTGGTCGCTCGCGCCTGGATGGCCTCCTGCCACCGGGCGCCCTGGTCGTAGGCGCTGATCAACGCGTTGAAGGCCACCTTTTAAAAAAAAAGGCGTACCGTGCGGTGCGTGAGGAGGTCTTCCGACCAAAACGCCCAAAAAAAAAGGCGCACTTTGCCCCCCTTTTGGTTCTTTAGGTCCTGATTTTTACGAAATTTCCGGCAAACAGGAGCCCAAAAGTTAGAACCTACAGTTGGGTGTGTCTCTTCTTTCAGGGGTGGAACTCACCCAAAAACAAGACTTTGTGGGTGTTCCTTTTAGGTTTTCTTTGAAACCGCCAAAAAAGGGGGTAGCAACTCGAAAAGGGGTACCACACTTACAGAGTTGGTTGGGGGGTTTGAGTCTTCGATCAGGTCCCAGGCACCACGTTGACCACTGAGATGGCCAGCGCGGGCCACGACGCGGCCGCCTCCTGCCACCTGCGAGCTGACAAGCCGACGTCCGCCGAAAAGCCGCTGCCGACAAGCCGTCAGCCGCGGCTTAAGCGAAAGCGGGCCTCACAAGACCCAAGTGATACTTTGGCCAAAATGATCCTCCATGGTAGCGCGAGAAATCTCGCTTCTTCTCTGCTTGAAATGATGCTTCGCAAGATCGCCCAAAAAAATATATCAACATCACTCCTTTCGGTCTGGATTTCTTGAAACAACCGAAACAACCCCTCAAGGGGCTTGGGTCCATGAAACCATGGCCAAGGACTCCTGGCTTGGAATCTAATTATTTCTTCAAAATGTGAGGCCGTGACCCCGACCTCCCACCTGCGTACGCCGGGGCGCTCGCTCGCGCCTCTTTATGAGACAAGGTGTCCTTCAGACCTATCAAGAATGAAGCCGAGAGAAAAAGAAAAAAGAACTTCGAGCCTCCCCCCCCCCACCTCCCCCCCCCAACCACCCGACGCCTGGCCACCTGGCCGCAGGCGCTCATCACCGTACTCAGCGTCACCTCGCTCACCTGGAGCCCGCGATCCGCGTCCAGCTCCTCCAGCAGCGCCAGGACCTGGGAGCAATCCAACGCCGGCCGCGGGGGCAACCAAAACTACCAGCCTGAAGCAACAGAACCCCAAAACCATTGAAGGAAACACATATGAGCGTTTGTTTAGGAGATGTTCGTAAGAATTGTCCTGGGTTCTGAACTAACCTACTATCTTGGCGAATCGAGCACCCAAGTGCAGGCTTCCAAGAACATGTCCTTCCCCCCTCGTCCCCTCGGCTGGGACTTGCCTGGGTCCACTGGCCCGCTTTGCCACAGGCGTCCAGCGCGGCGTTGAAGCTGATCACCGTGGGCCGCACAGCTTGCGAAGGAAGGGACCGCAGGAAGAACAGAGCCAGGGCCCAGTCAGCAGACCTACGGTGGAGGGTGACACGAGAAATCCGCGAAATCCGCCACCGAAACGAAAAACTCCCGCGTAACGTTTGTTGGTATTTGCAGGGGAATCATCAGAAACCATGGTGTTATTAGGTGGTGCAGGATTTCGCCCATCCACAGTACCGTTGACCATTGCCCCCCACAATGTTGGTCCCAATATACCACAATTTGGCGGCGGAGCACACAGGCGGTGTTTTTGTTTCCCTGGCCTTTTTGTCCAAGCTGTCCAAAATCAAACCAAACCTGAGGTGGGATCTTACGGCTCCCTGAAGGTTTCCCGGGAACCTGGCAACGGGAATTTTGGCCAATCCCACCTAATGAGGCAATTGTAGGTCACCACATCCGCCCGAAGATGTCGCGCCTCTAGGGGTGGCCGATTTCTGCGTGACAAATTCCACCGGGGGGGGGGGTCCTTTCAAGCCGCTGGTCAACACACCCATAATCCTCCTTGCGTCCTCAACCTCATTGGGTCAACACGTTTACACCACTGCTTCCTTTTAAACAACCGACGCCTGTCCGAACAACCTGCTGGCGTCTTTTCGCGCGACCCAGAAAGCGGCTGGTTGAAAGAAACTTGGTAGCACGAGAAATCACGCAAGCCACAGTTCACCCAAAAGGTAAGCAGCACCACCTCGCACAGCCTGAACCTGAAGGTACACATACAAACTTTTTGCGGCAGCTACTCTCAGAGGGTGGTCTTGTCGCTGCGCGCTTGCGCAAGCACAACGCACACTACACCCACCGCTTAGCATGTACCAACTGCGAGCCAGCTTGCTGGTTCTCAGCAGGGCATGAGAAATGGAACGACCCCTCAAAAAAAAACATCTATCCTACTGTTTCATTTTCTCGAAAATCCCCCAAAACAGCCACTAAGCACCAGCTGCGAGCCTTTTAAACCGATTTCGCCTCGAGGACCTTCAGCAATCACCTTCAGCCATCGCTAGTTCACCGCTTAGGACCAGCTGACATTGGCCCGATGTTCCACCGATGTCGGAAATCTCTGGGTCCGACCAACTGAAGTTCTCGCTGCGAAAGCCAATTTTCCCTGAGGAAGATCCAAGCATCTGGTGATACCTGGCCCAAATGGGTTTGTTTGTGATGGTCACTGCTTTACCCTGATTCCGCTGCAGGGTCCAAGCCAGTGGGATGGTTGACAAACGCGGGCGCTCCGACTATTCCCTGGGGAGTTTTTTTGACACACAAGGCATGGCCTTGTTTCCTACACCCTCTTTGGCTTACACGGCTTGGCCAGCTTCTGCGGGGGTGAAAACCAAAAACAACAATCCATGTTTGATCAGCGCGGTGCTCCGACCATTCCCCGGGGGCGGACAAACAAAAAGTTCGGTCGAGCTGCCTCAAGGTCCTCCAGCAAGCCCAAAGAGATCTGCCACTGCAAGCCGCAGGCGCAGGCGCTCAAGGCGCTGTTGAAGGGGAACCTCGCCGTGCGAGAGAATTTGTCGGTTCGGTGCAGAGCGGGGGTAAAAAACGAGCTGACTGGCCGTTTCACGGTCAGAAAGGTCATGACAAGGTGTGGACAAGATTACAAAAAGGTTGCAAACGGTTGCAAAATGGCTATATATAAAGCCTATGAATGCTTGTAAATGTATGGCTAGGAAAGGTTTCAAAAGGTTATGAATGGTCTCTAAATGGTTGCAAGGGTTCTGCGAATGTGGTTGTAGTTGTTGCACTACAGCCTCCCATGAATCCGTGTTTATTTGTTTCCCTCAACATTGGGTCAAAGGCTCCATGGAACTTGTGGTTCAAACTTGGCCGGGACCCCTCGCAAAACTAACAGCTTACCACCAGTAGCTTTGTCCCCCCCCGCAAGCCCAAAAGCTACACGTCCCAACCCCATAAATCCGCCGGCCCCTTTCTAAGGGGAGGCGCATGGGAAGGGTTTGTATTCGTCCTTGCCTTCGCGGAAATTATCACCACTGATGTTGGGTGATGGTTCGCAGCATCCGGATCACCACATTCGTCCGATCATATACGGTGCAAGTGTGCCCTTAGATCCGACTTGGAATGCAGGTGATGCAGAGTCATGATTGTGATGATAACTGCTGCTCATGCTGGGGATGCATAGTGATGAGTATCATTAGGATGTCGTCACGGTAACTGCTGGTGATGCTGGGGATGCGTAGTGATGACCATCGGACCATCATCATCATCATCATCATCATCGTCATGATCAGCCTCATATGTTGGCTGATGATTTGCATCAAGATCATCATCATTGTCGTGGCGCTCTTCTTTTTCATATACGTTTCAAGTGTGCATAGACCCGAGTGGAAATGCAGACGATGCGTCATCATGATTGTCATGATAACTGCTGGTGATGCTGGGGATGCAGGATCATCATCAGCATCATCATCATCGTCATCATCATCATTGTGACCCGACTGGAAATGCAGGCGATGCGCAGTCAATTGTCATGATAACTGCTGGTGATGCTGGGTAATTCGTCATCATCATCATCATCACCATCTGATTGCATCCCGGGGTGCTAACAGCTTACTTCTTGCGAAGACGAAGCAATGACACAAAGTCCACGCTTTGCATCCACAGCAACACAACGAAGTCTCGCCTTCAAATAAGTGCCCCCAACATGGCTTTCCTGCCCAAGTTTCCACACACCGGGGGCACTTCTTCTAAAATCCAACAAGGTGCTCATTATCATGCGATTTAATCCTGCAGTAGCTTGTTTGAGATGCAGGGCATGCATCGTCATAATTCTCACAACAACTGCTGGTGATGCAAAAAATGCAGAGTAACAGTTAACATCATGACTGCTGGCGATAATGCGAATGCATAGTAATAAATATATATATATACATATATACATCAGCATCCCTAATGTTGGGTAATAATTTGCATCATCAAAAGCATGATCATTATCGTGGTGCTCTTCTTTTTCATATATGCTTTAAGTGTGCCGTTTAGCCCGACAGAAAGCGCGTAGTCATAATTGGTATAAGCAAGCAGGGGGCGGCGGCACAGGGCGGCGGCCCTTAGATCCGGCTACGCCTCCTGGGGTAGCATGTCGCCGCTAGGCAATTGCCTGCTAGCTTCAGCTATAGGGGCTGCACCCATGTGCCGCCGACCCTCGTCACTTGGTCGTGATGCGTTGCCTAAATCCGGCACCTCTGCATCACCAGCTCGGGCTTGCGGTTTTGCTTGCCTGTGGGAAACCCTCGCAAAACATCGCGTATATGCTGGGTTTAGGCCATGTGGCTGACATCATCAGGGTCTGGGGGCCTGGGTGATGCTTCAGGTCTGCATCATCAAGACTTCCTTCCAAAAAGCCTCTCAACCCATGAAGCACTGTTTTTAATGAGGCTCATGTTCGCGCATTTTGGCGCCAAGCGCTCCCGACTCATGCCGGCGATGCTGGGTCCTCGCTCTACAAAATGCTTGAAATACCGTCAAAAACTGCTGTGCTGAGCGTTGGGCTGTTGTTCTGTCCGTTTTGCTTTTGCTGTGGCTGGCTCGCGTGCCGCGCGGTCCTTGCTTTTTTCCGGTTGGTTTTCGGGCCTTCTGGCGCGCGCGCGCGCGCACGCGCGCCCCCAGCCACAAAACGCTGCTATCTACGGTGCTTTGCATCCCCGGCATCATCTGGGGTTGGGGTAGGTATAACTTCAGCTTCAAAGAGGCGTAGCCGGCTAGAGGCCGCAGGCCCAGAAAATATACCTTTGCTGGGCCAAAGGGTGATTAAAGCAAGAGAAGAAGAATCATCGGACGCCAGCCAGCCACGCAGGCCCCCAGTGGCCGCGTGGGGCCTTGTTTGGTTCCCTCACTGAGCCTCACACACGGAGGGCTCAGTCTTGTGCACAAACACCGCCGTCAGCAAGTCCAAGGCTTGCCGCCACTGCGACGCCTTCTCACAAGCGCCGATGGCAAAGGTAAAGCTGAAATCGTCCGCGAGGTCTTCCTCAGCGCAAGGAAAGCCTGTCCCTGCTTACCCATAACCTTTTTTGTGTATGTGAACCATGTTTTTTGTTGCTTCCAAAGCAAAGAAGAGAGAGCACTAATTCCGGGCTCCCTCCAGAAACAAAAACCCATGTGGGGAGGTTGGCAAAATTAAGGGCCCAATTTTGGTACCCCTGCGGCACAAGAGAAGGCAGCAAAACGAGTCCAAACGCAGACGTCAATCCGGTCCTGCGGCTCGAGGTCTGCGGGTACTCTTACCGCTTTGTTTGATTCGGAAACCAAAGAAAGACACCACCCCCCTTTCAGGGTCCCAAGCCTTGTGTCTTTGAAAATCGGATACCCCCAAAACACACACCCAAAAAACAACTTCAATAACAGTAGGAAAAAAAGCGCGAGCGCGTGCCCCCTACCCGCCATTTCCTGGCATCATGACCCACTTCCGAGCCGACCTTTGAGCCCGGCCGCGGCGATCAGCGCGCCCAGCAGCTGCACGGCCTGCTGCCAACGGCTGGCCTCGCCGCAGGCGCGGATCGACGCCCTCGCCTGCCCCGGAGACGGGCGAGCGCGGGGGTTCAAACGCGCGAGGCGCTGACACGGAAGGTGACCCTCGAAAAAGGGGAAAAGAGATCTTCCCCCTTCTCTGCCCCCTGTTAACATAGTTGGCCTATGAAATCCGGTTGACCCCAAAAAGAGAAGAAAAGCAACTAGCAATAAATATCGGGGGCCGTATTTACTGTAGCCCCGCAGCTTGAAAAAACGCCACAGGCCACAGTAGCACCGCTGGGCTGGGAAAAAAGCATTGACCGTTTGCCATGATTATGGCTTGATCTCAAAGCGCGCCCTACCCCATTCAAGTTATTTAAGATGGGGGCCGAACAACTTAGAATAGGTTTCTGGAGCTCTTAGACCAAACTTAGGCACGGCTGTAGGGGTGAACTACTACCTACTTGTTTGCCCCTTCCATCAGCCCCCTAAATTCGCCTTCCGCGCCTTCCGCACCACGTCTACATTCTCCACGCCGCCGCTCCCGCGCGGATCCGCACGAAGCGACATCACCAGCCATTGACTCCAAACACCGCGGCATGGCGAAGGCGCCGCGCAAGGCGGCGGCCCGCCCGATTTGTTTGCTTCCCCGAACTGAGCGCATGTGATTTGTGTGGTTCTGTGAGTTCTGCCATGGTGTTCTGTTGTGTGCGCTCTTATGAGCCTGTTTGGATTCTGTTTGTTGCTTGGGTGCTTTGCCCGCGTGGTTCGCCCGCAGAACTGCCAACCATGATTCCTTACAAGTCCTGTAACACGAGTTCTAGGTCTGAAAGCTGAGTAATCAAGCCAGCCCTTGACACCGGACGCACTGATGTCAACAATGGTGTCTTCGGGACCGGCCAAACCAACACCGTTGCCTTTGTTGCTGCCAGTGTGATGCGCTCTCGTGCGCAAGTTATGCTTGTCTCCCGCGAAAATGTTGCGTGAGGGCCGAAAGGCAACCCTAAAACTTGACAGTGTCCCTTAATTTCCCTGCAAGGCACCCCCCCACTCACCAGATGCGATGTGGCTCCAAACCAATTGTTGTTGACCCCAGAGAGGCCAAACTGCGACATAAGGAAGACTCCCAGTAAGGGAGATTCGTCTTGGGTGAGCTCGTTAGGGTTTGCCCGGATCAATGAGGCGCCGGCCGCAAAAGCAACGCCCCCATTGGCAGCGCGTGGGTCAATAATGTTGACCCCGGATTAATAAACCCCTGTTTATTAATATGGGGGTGTTCCCCTCCAAGTGATGAATCCCCACTATAACCAGGGACACCTCCATACTAATAAACAGGGGTTTATTAATCCGGGGTCAACATTATTACAAAAAGGCACGGGCAATTTTGGAACTCCGCTCTCTGTCCTGTCTTGAGCAGGGACGGTGAAACGAAGGCAGCAAACTAGCTAGGAGGCTATGAGACTAGGAGGCTATGAGCGAGTGTTGGAAGCAACAGAAGCCCAAAACGTATTCGGGCGCCCTGAACTGCGCGGGGGTTCCTCCTGTTGTTCCAAGGAGACCAACAAAACATTGATGGATCCCTGGCTCATTTGAATTGAAGCACAGAACCAGGGGAACCCACAACCTGGTTTTGCGCGGATTTTGTCAAAGCAAAAACCGGTGTTTGGGGGTGCTAGACGGAACCTGCCCAAAAGCGGGTGGTTTTGGGTTCCCACGAGTTCTGATTCCTACTTTTTCACAGAGCGTGGCATGCCCACATCAGGCCGACTTCATGGACGCGTTCGCCTGCGCCTGGCAAATAAATTCGCAGTCTGGCAGCCCTGCAAATGCCAACAAACGTTATGGTTTCAACCATGATGTCAAAGTGGTGCGAACGGATTGCGTAACCATCCACAGTAGGGCTATGCCTTGTTCCCCTGACGACTTGCGGAGGCGAGCTCAGATCAATGAAACGCGCGGGAGTTTGAATCCCCGCGTGTCTTGCCAACTCTGCTTTTGTTTTTGAGCCAAGAGGGAACTGTATGCTGTCGAGGGAAAGGGTCACCTGGAAGAAGACCAAACCACAAGACCGAATCCGTCGCTTTCTTTGGAGATAATCCTGCACTTGGGGCTACGCCGAATCTGAGGAAAAAGCTTGACTTATTTGGTGTTCCCAAAACAACACACCCATCAAGCGGAAGAGGCTGGGTGGGTCCGGGCGCCAATGGAAAATTTGAGAGGCGGTGCACATCTTGGGTTTCTTGTGGGATTTCTTGCCTTCCTGCCGCCTCAGCTACGCACTAGGGCCCAAGTTGAAACAACAGTCGTCATAAAACAATGCTGACCGCCATTTGCTGTGGAGTCCCCTGGCAATATATATATATATATATATATATGTATATTTATGTATTTATTCATATTGTTTGATTTAGTTATTTATTTATTTATTTGTTTATTTATTTATTTATTTATTTGTTTATTTATTTTTATTACTTTTATTGACAGAAAAAAAAGTCAAGTAGTGATAAATAATATTTTAAAACCAACTGGGAAGCGTTCTCAACCAAATGGAAGCTGAGTGTGATCAATTGCATCCCTGAAGCTAGCAACCTGGGCAATAACCCGCGAACCCCTATTACCAAACCCTGGTACATAAGGTTACCAAACGTTTGGGTCTGTGACGGAATAGAGAAGCTCCAAAAATCGCCAGTTGTCCTCTTAATCCAACCGGGATGTCTGCCACTTGTGCGATCATCCCACACTAAAAGGGGACACTTTTGATGAAAACCAACTGGGCGTTTATTCGCCCGGGGTTCCCATTACAAGGATACAATCTCGGTCCCCATTTAGCAAAACCCGCTTGGAGTTGTCTGTAAGGGGCTCAAAATGGGTGGGTGTCCCTCTATAAATCCCAACAAAGAGCACCAACTCGAACAAAAACAACGACCCCATTCGGGTCTGTCCTTCTGAGCGTACCCATCATGTCGGAGCTTTCCCCCCGTTTTGAGACAACCCAATCTAGGTTTCCCATAAATGGGGGCTTTGAACCGCCCCCGAAAAGGGGGGCCAACTCCAAAGCAAGCCACGCCCCATGTCGCTCAACCCCCCCTCATTCACGCTTTTCACGGACGCGCGCCACTCGCAGACGCGGCTCGCGCCTCGATGCACTGCGTCATCTCGGCGCTGCTGCTGAAGCCCCAAGAGGCGCCCACCAGGGCCCTCGCCTCCTGAACCGAACTGACTCGGAGGAAGGCTGAAGCTCGGTTGCTGTCTGCTCCCCTGCTAAAAGTGAATGACTTTTAGTGGCTTAATACGGAAACCCCCGTTAGTCGGCAAAAGTCAAAGTCCTAACCTCCAAGCAAAATGCACCGAAGGAAGTTCTCAGCCAAAAGGGGAGTTGGACAGGGGGGAGAGAAGGGACGAAAACCATGAGGGGGCGGAAGAATTGGAGCACAGTGCAAATCAATTGCTTCTTGCTATTCTCAGTCTTTACACCTCTCAGGCTATCGTGCAGGGCCAGGTGAGGGAGGGTAACGCGGACCCATCCTATAGTGGGGCAAAAGTGAAGGCTTCCCACTATAATGGAACACCCCCTGCTCGTAATGACGCAGGACTATGGTGAGAAGGGCTATGAAGCGAGGCTTCACTGAGATGCGCTGCGCGGGAAAGCTATGGTGAGAAGCGCTGTGAAGCAAGGCTACGCTGAGATGCTCTGCGCGGGAAAGCTATGTTGAGATTTGCTTCGGCTGCTGCGCAGCAGGGCTGGCCTTGTTGAGCTAGAACCCTTGCCTACGCTTTCGGAAGAAAAAAAGAAAAAAACAAAGTTGGCCAAGCTCTCCGACAAAACTTGCCAAGGTAACGGCAGCCTCGGCCTGTGACCCTGGCCGCTGGGGGAAGAAAAACCGAAGACAAAAAAAACACCGGAGCCGGCAAAAGCCGATCTCTGCCAATGCAAAGGGAAACATATAGGGGAGCCTGCAGTTATTACAAGCAACAAAAGTTGACTTCACGGAAAGGAACAAAAGCCAACCCTGTTGGCCACCGAAATAGAATCTTGTTGGATGCCACCGTCATATTGCAAGTGAAGAAGGGAACTGATTCTCTACTTTTCCGTAGTTTAGCGTAGTTGTGTGGTTGGTATGGTTGTACTTTCAATGCGAGTGGGGCATCAAGCGTATCTCCTGTGCCGCTTGCAAAGGCGCCGAGAAAGTCGGCGAGCGCCGGCCTCGACGGAGGAGCTGGCCTTGAATGCTTCGAGGAGATCCTTCAGGAGCCTGGGTGCTTTGCGCGAATCTGCGGGGTCAAGGGACGCAACTCCTGGTGACTATGCACCCACCCACTCACCCGCCAACCAACCAACCACCATCCAAATAAACAAACAGCCCGACGCGGAAAAAGGTTCTGGCTATGTGTCGCCACCCCTGCGAATGGTTTAACATCGGTCCCCTCTTCCGCTCCAAAGTTGCCCCATGTGTCACTTGCTGACAACGTCCCATCCCACTTTGGCGCTTTGCGCCAAATGAGTGTGATTTTCAATGGGTCTCGGACCCTTTGGTGGACATCATTCACGTGGGGTCTACCAATCACTGTTGGAGGTCCCTCTTAAATCTCATACTCAACCTGAGGCTCATTCCTACCCAGGGTGGTCCTCTCTCAGTAACGACCGGTACCAAAAGCGTCTACTCAACGCCACGCAAAGAATCAGTAGGGTGGCTTGGACTGTCCGTTACTAACCTTCGCTTCTATCTTGATTCCCCCAACTCCGCCCCCCCACAGTATGTCTCCCAACATGTTGTATTCCACCCAAAGATGTTCAAAGGAAAGCCAAAAGGAACCCCACAGAGTTTAGTGGGTGCCTCGATGATTTGGATACCCCCCCCCCCTACTAAACTGGGGTTGATCTATATTATAGTCAACTCTACCTGCAACCATGAAAAAGCCCCAACCTTCAAACACACAACCTTTGGTTTCCCTTTAGATCAATTCAACCCACAAAAACAAAAAAACGGGATCCATCCAAGGACCCTCCACCAAAGCCTCTCGGCGCCACGACAAAAGCTCTCCTCAACGTCTCTGCGGGGCCTCGCGGCAAGCTGGGCGGTCAGCACCACCCGCGGCGACCTACGACGAAATCGAAGAATGAATCCAGCAAGCGGGCGGCCTCAAAAAAAAATGACCCCCCCCCCCAAAAAAAAAAAAAAAGAACTGTCGTTTTGGTTTGGTTGTTTAAAACAAATGTACCCTCCCCTGAAGAAAAAAAAAAAAAGGAACAATACTCACACCCACCCACCCACCCACCCACCCACCCACCCATCCACCTACCCACCTACCCACCTCCCCCCAAAATCCAAAATAAAGCGCGTATGGTTTTCAGAAAGCACAACAAAGAATCCCCACCCACCCGAAGTGGCGCCTGTCTTTCTCTTCGCCCTTGGCCTTCTCCACAGGCGCCTGGCAGCACCGCCTTTTGACCCGCAAATGAAGTGAAGGCGTGTCCCGTAACCTTGCCATCCCTTGGTCTGGGCTTTTGACAAATGAAAAAAAATGAAGAAAATAATATATATATATATATACAAAATGGAAGTACGTTTATATACAAAATGAAGAAAAGTGTGTGCGTGTGTGTGTGTATATATATATATGTATATATTAAAAATACAAGTACGGTTCGCCCCGTAAAACAGATCTCTCGGATTTCATTCGCTTTTGCAGCAACTCACTTCCGATCGAGTGTGTCGGCCAAACAAAGAGTCCAAACTTCTATATTTACCAGCAAAAGGTCCAAACCCAAAAAGTGACTAAAGTCCAGGAATTTAGGAAGTGAATGTCTGTAACTTACAATGCGCTTGAGGCGAAATCAAATTCCAACCAAAAGGAACATTGAGATTGAGTCAAACGCACAACCTGAATCGAAGAGGGCTACAATCGGCGTCTGGATATGCGACAAAAGTGCCTTTGTCCTCAGACCAGCGAATGGATTAACACTTGTCTTGAAAGATTCGGCAATCCCCGAGACCCGCCCTGGGATGCCGGATGGAGGCAGAAAATCTTTGGATGGTCAGCCAAATTTGGAAGTGGCGACCCAACGCCCCCATCTGCGGTCTCCCCGCTTTTCGCGCATTCACCAGCGTCTTTCCATCACCAACCTCCCAGACTTCTAGTGGACATGGGAATAAAAAAAGGAAGGCACTCTTCTTGTGGCAGTGTTTTCTAGAGGAAACCCAAAGCAAATGGCACCCATTTTCTGGCAGTCTGCTGTGAAAGGGGCCCACCGCTTCCAAAACAACGGAGTCCTCAGATTCCCCGCTAAAAGCGACTAGCTTTGAGTAGGTGAAATTCGGAAACCCAATCACTAGACCAACTACAAACATCTAAAAACCTAAGAAGGACCGGATGGCTGGGAACCACCAAAACACCCCAAACCTTCCCCACTCCACCCCCCACCCCCCACCCCCAACCCCCATCAAAAAAAAAAAACTAAGGGTAACTAAGCCCCCACTAAACCGACTAAAAACCTAAAAACCTACAGGAGACAGCCAAAAACCCCGCCTGCCGCAGACCCTCTCTTGGCCGCGGCCTGCATTCGGAAGCACCAAACGGATGGGAAGGGTGTGTCTTAGATCCGGCCTCCTCAAATATATGTGTATACTTGTATATGTATTTGTCAATGTCTCTATTTTTTTCAATTTACATATGTATTTGTGTGTTTATCTATTTATCGATTTATTCAATGTACCTATAAATTTGTTTGTGTATATCTACTTATCTATTTATTCAATGTGTTCATTGATGTATCTACTTATGTATTCTGTTATTTATGCATTTATTTATGTGTTTATTTATTTATTTGTGTATCTATTTATTGATTTGTTTATTGACTCATGTATTTTTTATGTAGTCATGTATATATATATACATATTATTATTATTGTTATTATTATTGTTATTATCATTATTATTATTATTATTATTATTATTATTATTATTATTATTATTATTATTATTATTATTATTATTATTATTATTATTATTATTATTATTTATTACTATTATTTATTATTGTTTTATTTGGTCAATTAGTTATTTATGTATTATTTGTCTACATAGTTATTTACTTATCTTTTTGTTGATTTGTGTATTTATTTCTCTATTTATTTATTTATTTATTCAGTTATTTATTTATGTCTTTATGTAGTTATCTATGTATCTATTTGTTTTACTTATTTAGTTTTTAGCTATTTATTTATTTTTTTATGCATTTATCTATTCACGTATTGACTTAGAAATACTAGTCTGTTCTCTGTGGGGTTGTATTGTTTTAAGAAAGCAAGTAAAAATGATTGTGTTCCGTTGGCTTCCCTTGAACCTGACTGGAAACAAAACGAAAACAAGAAGAAGAAAACAACTGGTATCCTCAAATTTTGGACACACCAACGTGTCAAACTGCTTGACGAGTTCCTGGGAAGTACGCATGTGAGATCGCAAAAGCCGACACGCTCCCCTTAAACCAAACAGGAAACCCAGAACGGGGTCTTCCCCATGAGGAGGAGATCCCTCGACTTTGGTGGAAAGAACATGACACCAGCCATTTAGAAGGGTCAACAAATGTACAAAAACTGTAGCGACCCACCCTTCAAACACCCCCAGGGCTGGTCTCAATAAGCATCATTCAGGCCAAATAAGGGGCCGCATGAAACCAAATAAAGCCACACACAAGGCCTAATCAGTTGGGGCTGTCTTTGGGTGGTGGTTCATTGATTGGGTCGCTGACTGTTGACAAACCGTTTCAGTTGCCCTTCAAACCTGCCTGACAAGAGTTCATGCCATCATTCACTCGCACGCAAAGCCAGCTATTTGGTGAATTATGATAAATGCGTGTGTGTCAACATAGATGGACCCTAAAAGCCATTGGTATCCTGTTGGTTTCCCTTTCGACAACGCTTGGAAGATCCCAAAAACAAACACGGCCCGAATCATTCAGAAATTATTACGCAAACGAAGATTCCTGTATGCCCAAGCAAGGGAGTCAACATATGTCTACTTGGAATCCATGAAATTTGATTCGAATTGGTCTGGATCCGACCACTTGGTGCTGATTTTGTTTCTTCAATTTGCCAAGGTGATTCGGTGGGCAGACATGTGACATGTCTAGACATCTGACCGAATCGCCCCAAAGGCCACCTCTTGGAAAAACCACACCAAAGGGAGCAAAGGTCAGTTCAGCAGGGATCCGGATGCATTATACACCTGAACATTGCAACTTGCAAATGGTGGTTTCCCCTTATTTTGGTGTTGAAAAAGCAACATGTTTCAAATGGTTGCAAAATGGAGATCTTTTAAGGAGCCCTGTTCAGTGAACTTGTTAAGCAGAGAACTAGAGCTCGTCCCCCCCCCCCCCCGCCCCAAATACCGGCAATGAAAAGGCCACCCAAAAAGTCTTTGGCAGCGCGCTGTGTGATCTTCTGGCCTCTGCGCTGGCCTCTTGCCCAGTGCCAGGGAAGCCTTGTGCACCTGACAAAGTTGGAAAGACGTTGGTGTCGCCGTGCTACGGTGGATGCGTCTGCTGTTCGCCTTATTGGAAGTAAACCAATAGTTGCAAGACCACCGTAAATCACGGTAAATTACTGTTCGCCATATTGGAAGTAAACCCATAGTTGCAAGACCATGGTAAATTACTGTAGAGGGTTCAACTTGGTCCCCTACTTGCAACATGGCCGGGGCATCCACCTACTTGGCAAGCCGTTTGCCAAATGCACCCTCCCACTAACAGTCCCTCTTCCCGAGAATGGAATCATTGCTAAACCAATTACACATGTCCGACCCCTTCAAACATCATCCCACCAAAAGAAAACCTCAGCTTAAGTCGGTCTTTTCCCAAAGGATTGAGTACCATGCGTTCTTCATGCGTGGTTTGTGCTGATGTTGCTGGGTGTATTCGTGTAAAAAAATCGTGTATTCTTTGGGTTGGCGTCGCTTGGTTTCCTTTGGCTTGCTGTGACAGGCTCAGCCTCAGCGCCCTGGGGACAGTCCTCAAACCCAAAAGGCGTGGTGGATGGACGAAACCCTGACCTAAGAAGCCCTGGTTTCGGATTTGATTCCCCCCGTAAATACCGACAAACGTTGCGGTTTCACTCTTATGGTTTTCGCAACCATCCACAGTACGTGGCGTTGTCAAAAAGAATTGGGGCGCTTAAACAATGCGCATTGTAATATCCCAAAAGGTCCCCATACAAACAAGTTCAACTCAATACCTCCATTGATAGACGGCACACGTCTCGACTCGCACAGCTTTTCCCGTCGCAACATATCGCCGTCGGCTCCGCATTGCCGCATCGGAAGCTGGATTGCCGTTTGACCCCCCCCCCTTGGGAAATACGAGGATCCTCCTGAAACTTCCCCCAGCTGGTTTTCTTCTTGAGGGTTGCCCAAAAGGCCCGATCGGCTCAGTGGAAGAAAATCGGGCGGGCAAAAAAAACGACAGGAAACAGACCCAATTGTTTGACACCACCTGGTTTTTCTTTCGTGTTTCGGCCAAAGAGTTGCTCCCACCCAAAAGGGAGGGGTCCCAACATCCAGGTGGTTGGTTCCTTTGCCCTTCCACCCGGTGCGTTTGACGCCAAGCCGTTGGCGTCAAACGCGTCAAACGCCACGCTCGACCTGGGCTTAGCGCCCAAAACTCGAGCGGCTCTAGTGCAAACACCCAAGGAATGAGAACCCAACCTCCAGTTGCTTCAGTCTCCTGGAAAAAATGAGCAAATATGTCCAGTAGTGATTCCCTTCAAAACCACAAGGGGAAGTTATATAATACTTGATATATATATATATATATATATACAAAAAGACTTAAACGCAAATGGAAGCGTTGATTTTGATCGGGGATTGTCCCATTTTACAGGGCAACCTCCAGCATACCAAAACATCTGCCATTGCTTGGTTTCCTTTAGGCTTGGTTAGACATAGAACTGTGTTCTCTTGGTTGCTGCATGGTCAGACATATTCTTCTCTTAGGTTGGCTTGCTCCTCGAGGTGGGTTTTATTGTAGGTTGGCAAAAAGAAACAGCTGGCTTTGGGGTAGTCCTTTTAGTTTGGTTTGGCCGGCCGCTGGAAACGGTCGGTTGGGTTGCCCATGGGGTGATTTTTCGATCGCTGAGGTCAGCGACCCTCAGAATTCGTCCAGGTCCATGGCCACCTCCAGCGCCGCCAGGGCGGCCGTGGGCTCACGCGCCAGGTTGGCGTAGTAGACGTCGAAGCACAGCTCCTCGACTTCGCACGATTTTGTTCATAGGCGTCCTTGGGGAAGTAGATGCTGGTAGATGATTCAACCACCAGGTAAACCAGGGCCATCTAGTTGTCTACCAAAACAACCAAAAAGGACACCTATGCTCACGTCTCGATCAATGGAAGCGGAGTTCTCGAGTTCGGGGGTCTGGTCCACGTGGCGGGGGGAGGGGGGGGAGCTTGGTGTTCTCGTTTTGGAAGGGGCCCGTGTTTTTTGTTCGGTGGCCTTCGATCGTGTGTTAGCTAGTTGTTTGGTTCTTCATAGTTTGTCTATTTGTTAACACGTGGGGGTTTGTCTACTTGTTTTGTTTGTTTGTTTGCTTGCTTGCTTGCTTGCTTGCTTGCTTGCTTGCTTGCTTGCTTGCTTGCTTGCTTGCTTGCTTGCTTGCTTGCTTGCTTGCTTGCTTGCTTGCTTGCTTGCTTGCTTGCTTGCTTGCTTGCTTGCTTGCTTGCTTGCTTGCTTGCTTGCTTGCTTGCTTGCTTGCTTGCTTGCTTGTTTGTTTGTTTGTTTGTTTGTTTGTTTGTTTGTTTGTTTGTTTGTTTGTTTGTTTGTTTGTTTGTTTGTTTGTTTGTTTGTTTGTTTGTTTGTTTGTTTGTTTGTTTGTTTGTTTGTTTGTTTGTTTGTTTGTTTGCTTGCTTGCTTGCTTGCTTGCTTGCTTGTTTGCTTGTTTGCTTGTTTGCTTGTTTGCTTGTTTGCTTGTTTGTTTGCTTGTTTGCTTGTTTGCTTGTTGTGTGTTTGTTTTACGGTTCTTGGTTCGTTTTTGGGGTTTGGGGCTTAAGGGGGATCTGTGTTTTAGCTGTTGAGTACTGGATGTCGACTTCGAAAGTTGAAAATTGTTTGGTGGCGTTCACTGAAACTACCCCTTGTGGAGGTTCCCTTTAACGGGAAATGGAGGAACTTTGTCCCTATGACTCCTTTTTCGCTGAGAAAGAGTCCCGTGGAGGGACTTCTAACTTTTTAAGCGCTCAGACCTAAAGGATCAAAAGGCGCCCCCGACCCTCCCCCCCCTCTCTTGGCCCGCAAAAAAAGGCTACACGGAAAAAAGGCTACCCCCACAAAATCTTCGGATCCTGCCTCATATTTAGCCTAGTGCTAACTTCGGATTCACCTGCAGGAGCCTAGTCCAACGACCCACTCAAACCGATCATTCTCAAATTGGAGGTCCGGATTCATGGACGAAGTGAACCTTACCCCGAAACACCAAAAAAAAAACACATTCTGAGCTTCTCCCGGGCCTCCGGGTCGCCCAGGGAATCGGGGCGCACGTCGGTGGCCAAGAGCGAGAAGCCTTTGGTCTTCAGCATCGCCTCAGCGGAGCTCGGAGTCGGATTCGGCCGACTTTGGGCGGGGGAGGGGGGCTCATTTTTTTGTTTGGGGGGGGGAGGTTGGTTGAGTGTCTTGGTTTTGAGGGATTCGGGGGGGGGGGGGGGTTTCGAGGAACATTCCACTGAAACAACCAAAATCAGGGCAAATTCGGGCGAAATGGGGGGGGGAAAGTCTCTCAAATGGGAGTACCCTCGGTACCAAAAAATGGTAGGGGCCAAAACAAAAAGTCCCCTATGTTGAGACACACCCTGCCTCGGGTGCTGGATTCGCCAAGTTGGCTTTTGTTGTTGGTAACCGTGCGGGTATAACCCATTCACAAGTTCCCCGTGAAGGTGGGGTTAACCTTGTTATAAGGGGATGAAAAAAACCAAATGGCGATCCCCGCTTACGAATTTGGCCGAACATCCAAGTTAAATGGTTGGTGTCCTTTTGGTGTCCTTTTGGTGTCCTTTTGGTGTCCTTGAAATACCAAGCAAGGGGGGGTTCAGCCTGACATCTCATCTAGGTTATGTTAGTTCAACCAAAGGGAAAAATACAAATGATGTCCATTGTGAACAGGAGTTCACCAACCCAGGAAAACCCCTGACATCCCATCTGCATTTCATTCAAGGACCCCTATCATTCAAGTTGGACCCTGGTGTAATGTTGCAAATCCCTCCCAAACCTTGCAGCAGGTTGTTAAACATGGCCATGAAACCTACAAGACCTGTACAGTTCAGACTTTTAAAGATCGCCCCATAAAGACACTCACTGTCAATTCTCTATTCTCAGCAATGTCCTCTACCTCCATCAGGATGCCTGATATGTCCCTTTGTTATGCACCACCCCGCCAAAAGAAAACTTACTTTTTTGAATCGGCCCAAACCACCAGCAAAACGTAGGGAGCCCTGTGACACGCGACTTGATGTTGCCCCTCCACCCCTCGTTCTGACAAACAAGGCACGTCCAGCTCGGGCCAGAAGGGAGTACCCTTACACCTCGGTAGCGGCTATTGACAGATTCTGGGACCCCAAAAGCCATCTGTGGGGAACCCACTTTTGAGCACCCCCAAATAGGCAGATCCGCCTATGCTTTAAAGAAAGCTGGTTTTCCATTCAGTCAGGGATTGACATCAGTGGGGGCTGGGAGCAGGGGATGGGGAAATCGGGGACGCCCTGCTTGCACTGCTCCCGGGTTTTGGGCCGTAGAGTTGCTGTCTGGCTTTGGGGCTTGCAGTTGGCGTCCGCGAAAATATGAGCATGAAGCTTAATGCGGAACCCTTGGGTGGACATCATTGGGCTGGTCTTTTTGTCCACCACAAATTCAGGGGCGGCTCCTACAAATCACAACCATCGACCCCCAAAAGGAGGTTCACAACGACTCAAGCGGCATTTCCCCGTTTCAGGAGTTGCCGGACAATTTTGGGGGCCCGCCTTTTCTTGTTTCGATAACCCATAACCCCGAAGGGGTTCCTCGGAACTTTGTGCCGATAGTTGCGATACTGCGGGGGTGCGAAATCCCTTCGTGCCACGAAATGAGTTGCCATGAGAGTGAAACTGTAATATTTATTGGTATTTATTTGGGGAGTTTAATCCGAAACTAGGGGTTCGGAAGAAACCCTAAAAAGGAACCTGGTTCCTTGTCCCCAAAGATCCGAGGTTAGTTTGATCTCCAGTGTGCCCTGGAAAAGGACCTCGAGGACGCCAATACGCCCCAACCAGGTCCCCTCGAATTGCCAAATCCTCCGAATCCTGTGGTGTTGCTGCACTTCATGAAAATTTGAGTACTCCGTTCAAATGAGGTTCCTCGTAAAACCAATCCGATATGGTTGGCGCCTGATTGATAAACCCGCCACTTATTATTAAGGGGGGTGCCTTTTGACTGGTTGGATTCCTTTCTTCCAGGAAAACCAGGATCCTTGATTTTCCCTGTGGGGGGGGTATGAATCAGGGATCGACATTAAATATTTCTTTGTTGCAAGTCTCTGTCTGTAACACTTTCACTCTTTCTACTCTACTTCCAACTATTGTGTCCTCGGACACAAACACCCGACTTTCACGTGGAAATTGAAGCTAAGAACTTGAGGCTCGCTGAGTCAGAAACGAGCCCAGGTTCTTCGTTTTTCCAGCGCTCGGACTGGATTCCGTCTCCCAGGCGCATGCCCGGGGAGATGCAGGTCTCCAGCTGTAAGACCGTGGCCGTGGGCAGAATCTTCACCGAGGGCTTCAGCACCTTTACAAGTCAAAATTCAACCACCAGGGGACAGCAGGTTTTAGTCCATATTTCTACTTGCCAGGGTTGCATTTTGGGTACCTATGTTTGACCCACAGCCATTTCTTGGGAAGCTCACCCCCACACGAGAATCCCCGTTGAATCCTCCAGGGTTGAGGCCCAATAATACTTGCCCAAGAACCTCTCCACGCATCCCATAGATAGGCCCAGCATTCCCGAGTGGCTCCTCCCCCCTGGTCACACCCTGACGTGTGGTTCTAGCAGTTCTGCCTCGTGATGCTCGGTACCCAAGAAATGGAATTGTGTCTTTGTTCAGGGAAACCAACAGGAAACCAAGCCTTGGGGGTCCCCCATTTTAACACACACCCTCACTTGGGTGTTCGGCCAAGGAAGTTGTTCCCAGGTGATAAACTCACTTATTGGCACTTGAGTAAGTTGTTCCTAGGTGATAAACCCACTTATTGCCCCCCCCTAGTTGGGATAACCCTGTTATTAGTGGGTTAGAACCCAAGTGTCTGACCACTTTACTAACTTGGCCGAACATCCAAGTATGGACCGAACCGGACTTACTTTGCTTCGGCCTCGTACTCGCTGCACTGGACATCTAGCTCGATGTAGTCTACAGCTTGAAGGCCCTCCGCACGCAAAGCATCTAACCTGCGCTCACGCACGGGAAAATCCGAATGGGGTTGTGACATTGATTGGTTTGTTGGCGGTTTATTGCTGGAATTCCGGCTTCTCTTTAAACCAACCTGCAAAGGATTCATCAGATTTATTTTGTATAAGCCTTTCATATAGGATCCCATCAATCACCCCGACATACAAGCGAGATCAGTAGTTGAGAGTTCGGAAACGGGTCACGATTCCCACAACAGGTTCCTTAGCGTTCCTCAGGGTTCCTTAGGGAAAATCTCCCACCCTACACCCAAGTGCTCGGCCAAGTTAGCAAGCCGTTGGCAAGGCTCTAAGCCACTCATAGTAGGTCCTCCAGTAGAAAGGTTAGAATAAGGGTATCCGATCTTTTTCACATGCCATCCCTGCCAGCTACAATGTGTATATGTACATGTATATGTGAAGAGGGACACATGCCAGCAAACTGCAAGGTTAGAATAAGGTTGGAATAAATGTATTTTAGGGGACCTTAGCGATCCCACCAAAAAACCGAAGACCCATGAGTCGCCCTGCGGCTCGCCCTCGGCTCGGCCCGGCTCGCGCGCGTGGTGGTGCGCACGGCGACGCTCTGCGGCGCCCAGGTGATCTCCGGGAAGTTTTGGAGGTACCACTCGCTGGGCTCGTGGAGCCTCGCGCGCTGACTCGCTCCTTCACGGGGGGAAAATAAAAAAAACGCACGACTCAGAGAACCCAAACCTGCAAACAAACTCATTCAACTGGGTGGCTGGTGGAAAGATCCTGGCTTTTCCGTTTGGGTGTCCCTTCAAGACCAACCAAAAGGTGGTACCAACTCGAAAAAACGGAAAACAACCAAAAGGCGGTACCCCAGCCCCGTCGATGGGTGTGTGTTTTTCTGGGTAAGACGTGTTTCAGAGCGTGTTGGCCCCTGTTTGAGGGTGGAGGGACACATGAAATCAGACATTCCCACAAAAATGGTGGTGACTAGGTCATCCTTCGTCTATCCTTGAAGAACCCACCCAACGATCCCTGTCTGCCCACTACCCAGAAACAAATTGTTATCACCTTTTGGAGCAATGACTAAAATAAGGAAACCATGTGTATTGTTCAAAGCCTTCCGGTGTTTTCTTCTGAAAAAAAAAGGAACAGAAAACCACCTCTTGCGTTCTCCCCTTAGCCCAAACCGACCGGGCGGCATGTTCACTGCGCTTTTGGAGTGGTTCTCCCCCCGCAGCAGCAGCTTCCTCGGCTCCCACGCGAGTGAAAGACGTCTCACAGGAAGGTCCCACGAACATGTCTACAGGGCCTCTCTCTCGCTCTCTCTCTCCCTCTGTGTCTCGCTCTCTATTTGTTCGCTTCTGCTTCTCAAGCCGCGAACCCATTCTGAGGACAACCCTCCCGTTGAGACATTGTTGCAAGGCTTGCTGAGGCATTGTCAGCCACAAAGCACAAAGCGTCGACCCTCAATTGAAGCTGCAACCTTACTTCATGCTTGAAGCTGCGAACATAACCTTCAATGTGTCGGCCGAAAAGAATCGGAGGGGTTGGTGTTGGGAGAAAGCTTTTCTACCCATAGGTGTCCTTTTAGGGGAAATAGATGGGTTCCCTGGGAGATGACTCAACCACCAGGTAAACCAGGGCCATCTATTTTTCTACCAAAACATCTATTTTTCTTTCTAGAAAGCTTTTCTCCCCCATTTGTTGGAGGCGTGTTGATATTAGGCCGTGGTGTTTTTGCAGGTTTCGGCCCTTTCTTGGGGCTGGGGTCGGGGGTGGGGGGTGGGGGGATGGTAGCGACATCTCCCTGTTGTTTAGCCTTCTGTTGAGGTTGCCAACTGTGTGTTGAACAAAGCAAATGTATTAGATGAATATTTGTTTGCACAAATACATGAATGAATGAATGAATGAATGAATGAATGAACGAACGAACGAACGAACGAACGAACCAACGAACGAACCAACGAACGAACGAACGAACGAACAAACAAACAAACAAACAAACAAACAAACAAACGAACGAAATGAATGAATGAATGAATGAATGAATGAATGAATGAATGAATGAATGAATGAATGAATGAATGAATGAATGAATGAATGAATGAATGAATGAATGAATGAATGAAAGAAAGAAAGAAAGAAAGAATGAATGAATGCATGCATGCATGCATGCATGGATGGATGGATGGATGGATGGATGGATGGATGCAGGAACGAACGAACGAACGAACGAACGAAACAAATCGAAACGAAATGAAACGAAACGAAACAGAACGAACCGAACCGAACCGAACCGAACAATGAATGAACCTGAGGCACCCAACGTGCCCTTTTGTTTTAGGTACGAGAGAAAAAACGCTCGAATTAGCGATTTCTGCTAAAACGCTCGCATCCCGAAAAACGCTCGACCAAATCCTTTCTTCCATCCAGTGGACGGCGGGCATTGTTACGTTTTTTGAATTTGCACTCGTTTGCGGATATTTGCGCTCGTTTTGCGGATATTTGCGCTCGTTTTGCACTTCGAATTCTGCTCGCTCCTTTCGAATATTCAGCGACCGATCAACTTGGAGGACCGACCAGCCCGGTTTTGGGAAAAACGCTCGAAGCTGCAAAAAGTGTACATTTACCGTATTTTGGTGACGACCCCTGGTTTTGCAATACGTTTGGGCTAAGGGCAGAAATTTAGGTAACGAAGGGTGCGAATGAATGAATGAATGAATGAACGAACGAACGAATGAACGAATGAATGCATGGATTAATGAATGAATGAATGAATGAATGAATGAATGAATGAATGAATGAATGAATGAATGAATGAATGAATGAATGAATGAGTGAGTGAATGAATGAATGAATGAACGAACGAACGAACGAACGAACGAAAGAATGAATGAATGAATGAATGAAGGAAGGAGTGAATGAATGAATGGGTGAAACAATTAAACAAGAAACGATAGATAAGCAAGCAATAGTCAATAAACGAAAGAACAATTCAAGAAGAAATAACTCAATAGAAACCTGGATAAATGCATATACCAATAATTAATAGATGAAAAGCACATAGCAGATACACACATGAAAACATAAGCACTAAAGCACATCAATTTGCAACATCAGACAGACTCAGGAGATGCTGAGAAAATCGCATCTGCAACCGAAAGAGCTGTCAACATTAAGATGTCTTTGAAATCTGGGCGCCAAACAAAGGGGACCATTCCTTGATGACCTTTTGGAAAATAGATGGCACTAACAAATGGAATGAAACCCATCTAAACCAGTGGAACCCATCTATTTCTAAGCAAAGTAACCTAAAAATGGGGGAGTATGTTTGTTTTCGGACTCCCTCAAACAAAGCGAAGCAGGAGAAAAAGCAAGATCTGCAACTGATGTACAAAGAGATGTCAACAATTCGATGTCTTTCAAAAATCTTGGCCCAAAAAAAAATGGGATCCCAAAAGGAAATGTTGACTTCCCTCAAAAGCGACGCTTTTAGTCGCTTGCGATACTCGCCATGGGTCTGAGTGCCCACGCTGCCGGCCAGCGCCCGGTTGAAGAGCTGACTCCCCGTCCGCGCGCTGAGGAGCCGCGAGCCCAGGTTCCGCTGCAGCTGGCTGAAGCAGGTGGGGTCCGGCTCGAAGGCCAAGACCCGCGCCTGGCGGAAAAGATAAAAATCAGCCTCCCAATGGGTTTTGGAAGCCGAATCCATGGTTTGGTTTGGATAGGAAAATGGATGCCCATGTTTTTTCGGGAAACCCGTGTTGGTTGATGTTCAGAGGAACATGAGCCGAGGAACAAAACCCACCCATTGTTGAAATCGGAGTCTTGCAATGGTTCAAGGGCAAAAGCTAAGAACCCTACAAAGATCATCAATCTGTATGTACACCACAAGAAAGGGGAAAACTAAGGATTCCTGAGAAAAAGAAAGAACAAACGCATGTGATCAATAGGGATCCTACAGACCACCTTTGGCCTTATTTCAGCTTCGCTTGACTTGGTAGGTTAGGGGGTGGGTGTTTCCCATTTGCCCTCTACACAAGCCAAAATTCAAATCCCCAAACCATCACTCCAAGCCACCAACTCAGGGTTATCTGCAACACATCGGGTGTTGCGCAAGAATCCCCGGACTGTCCTCAGATCCGCTGCTAAAAAGTGACCGACTTTGGGTGGCCCAAAAATGGGAAAACCCGCCGGCTTCAACTAAAAAAAAAAAACGCCAAGGAACCGGACGACCACTGGAGCCCGTTTCGCTGCCGTGACGGCAGCTCAACCAGAGCTCCGGTTTCGGTAGCTCCCAGCTCCAAGCCCCAAGTTTCAGCTGGGGCAAAGACCCGAAGCTTTTCCGGCCACTCCCTCGACCAAACTTCCCAAAGCCGACCTTCCGACTTTCCGACTTTCCAACCTTCCAACTTTCCCCCAACTCAAGGCTCTGCGTCAAACCCGAAGCTTCCGGCCACCCCTTCCCCCCGGCCACCCCAAAAGGCTCGCCAGCCCAAAGGCTCGGCTCTGCCTTCGGCCAGTGGTCCATCCAGTTGGCCACGTGGATGCCATCGTTGGCGCCCCCCTCGATGATGGTGGGCTCCGGCGGGAGGATCTCCTTCAGGATGCCGTAGCTCCCTGAGGTCCGGACCCCTCGAAATGAAGCCACTTGGACCCGGGTCGTGAGAAATGGAATCCACTTCGAACGCCCCATATGAAGGGGGAGATCCCCTTGTATTACAGAAGTGGGGATAAACCCCTTGATTCCACAACCCTGACTTGGATGGACCCACAAAAACCCAAGCGAAGAGAGGCCCAAGAATTGGCAAAGCGATAGGCATTTCAATGATCTCCGAAAAACGGAAGAAATGGCATGGTGGTCGCGGCCCCAGTCCAGCCATGTCTGGCCGAATCGGTCCCCTCAGTCCAGAACCCCTTCTACAGCTTGCTCCCGAGTTCTTGTTCACCCATCCCTCTAGCGTGCAACCAAAAACCTCCCTCAAAAGAATGCACCTAGAACTCCGAAATCGCCGCCATTCAACAACTTCTGCAACTTCTAAAAAAAAAAAAAAACTCCGCCCCGTTGGCACCCAATACGCCTGACCAACGGACCCGGGGAGTCCGTTGGCCGAAAAAACGTCCTGTTCTCACAAAGGGCCCCGAAAAAACCAACCAGACAGGCGCGCAGCCCCGGAAATTCGGGGGGTTTCATGGTGTTTCTAATCAACAAAACCAGCCCTTAAGGGAGAAAAGGTGGTATGAGCTTCAGTTGAAACATCCTCTGTAGGGGTGGTTGTCCACCAACCATTCTGGAGGGCGTTCCCCATCGAAAAGCCATATGGGTGTTGCCTCTCCTCTAAATGAGTGCCGCAACAAAAACAAAAAACCGTCTACTTTTGATTGCCCTTTGAAGCCATTTCAAAAACACAAGAAACGCCACACACCCTTTTTTATCCCCTCCTCGTGTCCAAGTCTAAACGACTGAAACTTACGGAGCATACCCTGTAGCGTTTCAACGAGTCACTGCCAATATATACATTGTCCCCCATCGGCTGTTCATGACCTGATCCCAGTGACTAATTTAGGTGGTTCTCTTGCCATCAGACAAGGTTGCCATACGGGTGTGTCATTTTTTGTGGAGTCGGTCCCCCCCTTCATCTTCATGGTTGTTAAAGGGAAACTGGGTCCGATTCCCAGAAAGAGACATACCCAATCCGCAACCATGTCCGGAACCAGCTTGTTCACCCCGATTTCAAGTCCTCGGTCCCAGTGGGTGACATAAAATTGACCAGGGGTCCTTCTTCCCCCTGGAAGCAAGGACTCCACACAAATAAAAAGGTGAGGGGGGGATTCGAAAAACCTGGGGTCAGATTCGTCGCTTTTAAAGGGGGCTCCCAAGAATAGGTTGAAGAAAAGTGCTCGCAACCGACGGGTCTCTGGCAAAGGCACTTCCCCTTCCGATCGAGTGGATGACCCGAAACAAGGAACCAACCGTTTTGTATGCTACTAACAAACCCAAAAAAAAATGGCTCTAAACGTCCAGTTGCCGTTTTTTGTCCTGGACCAAATGTTGGCAAATGTTTCCAGATGTCTCTTTGAAACCAACAGGGACCATCAAAAAATATGTCCTCGAGCGAAGAATGGATCGCGCAAAAATCCATAGCCCCAGCCGCGGAAGAGGAAGAAGACCTCCAGAGAGCCCAACACATCCCAGGCGTTCCACCCGCTCCTGGCGGGAACGTCTGAAAGCAGCTTGGGGATATGGCTGTGTGTCAAAAACAGGGTAACCTCAAACTGGAACCTTAGACTAAAACCTGTGGTCCCCTGGTGGTTTAATTTTGACCCGCACCCATATGTCATTCCCCAACCGATGATTTAGCTGGGAATTGGGTGTGTCGTTGGTACCCCTTTTTGGTGGCTTTAATGGGAAACTAACCGGAAAACGGCCATGTTGGGGGGCCCCTTCAGCAAAGACACACCCCATTTATGTCCACAAAGCACTTTTGAAGGTAGTTCCCTATTGAAATTCCAACTTTAGCTGCTGACAGTCAAGGGGTCGATAGGACGGAGTGTTTGGCAAGGTTGCGAAAGGCTTTCGGGGGTTGCTGTTGGTGCCTGCAAGCATTCATTCTTGACTCCAAGTAAATGCTGGCCCAATGAACTTGGGTTTGACCCCTGAGCAGAATGTGAAAAACTGTTCGGTGGTCCAACCAACTAGCATTCAATTTGCTGATTTTTGCAAAGAGGACCTGCACCGAAACCCCGAAGCAACGAAAATATCATGTTAATCTCCGGACAAAAGTTGCGGGGTGTCATCATTGAAGAATGATACTTGGTTCACAAAGTTGGCAAAGGCAAGGGACCAGCAAGCACCACAGGAATTCACTGCCAGATTTTGTTGCCTCACTTTCAAGTAGCGAAGGGCTGACATCGAAACCCGACACTGGAGGAGACCAAGAATTGTGTGGGAAGACTTAGAAGGGGCGGTTTCTCCTGCGTGGAGCGAGTGGCAAGGGGGCTGTCCCCGTGATGTCGACCATTGCGGGGCGTCCCCTTTTGGTGGGGATTGCTTCCTTCCGGGGTGACCGGACCCCTGATTAACTGGGCCGCGTATTTATCACAGGTCAACATTACACCGCCTAAACCAGAATGGGGGAATAGTGCCATCTACTCTCACCCAACCAAGGTTCATCTTCAAAACCAAAAAGGGGCGACCCAGATCGGCCTTTGAAACTCAATCCGGGTCAGCCATGTCAAACTCACTCAAAGGAAATGCTGAAAAACGAAATGAACAGCCTGCACCCAACTGGCCGTGGACCTCCATACATGCCCTCGTAACTGGATTGTCCGTTTTCGGAACCCCAGGATAAAAGTTCCTACCGAACCGGACAGTTGGCCATAAACCTTTGTTGTCCCACGATGTTCCCAGGATGTCATCACTGCCATCCACTTAGAGTCGGTGTTTTGAGGAAACCCCAAAAAACAAGATGCCCAAAAAACAAGCTCAAAAAGGTTGAGAAGCAATTTTCAGAAACCATGTCCATAGTTATCGTTTGCAGAACCCCTCAAATGACTTCCCATAAATAACGAGGGCGCCTCTGGTCAACCAACTGAGCAGTGCCGAAAACCCAAAGACTTGTTGCTTCCAAGATGGGCTAGCAGTTTATCCGGGAGTTTCTATAAATTGTATGAAAGCAGGTACAACCACCTGGGTGTGCCTGAAAATAGGGTACCCCCCGAAATATATGATTTTCTTATTGGTTTCCCTTGACACCAGCGCCAAACGGGCCCCAGCAAAACATGCACACCCACCCAGTAAACTGCCCAATAAGAGGCTGCCCTTTTATAATTCACTGGAAAAACCATACGGAAAACCCCAGCTTTCCGAGGCTTTTGGGGATTTCGCTCCCCCGCTCCGCAGCATCTCCGCCGCGATGAGCCCTGGCCGCTGGGCCGTGAAGAGTCGCAGCACCCCCAGCCGCGCCCCTGGAGTCTCCCGAAGGCTCCGACATTGAAAAAAAATCCAGGTCGAAAAAATATGTGCGTTTCAACCGAAACGGGACCCTCAAAATTTGGTGCCAAACGGATGGTTGACCCCGATGGCACGGTGCTCCTGTTGGTTTCACAGGACCAAATGGTGCCCAAAGAGCCGGAAGTGTTTGTCATAGTTGACCACAAGAACTCGAAGCTCGGACGTTGAGACCGGACACCAGAACCTCAAATTTTGCCCCTTGGGTATCTTGAATATTTAGGACAAAGATATGCCCCTCATACTGCCCCGAAAAAATCATATAGGACAAACATTATTTAAAGCCAGGGCCGCCGGCACGGCGGCCAGGTCTTATACTGTCCGGGTCACATTGCGTTGCTCCATACCATCGCCTGAAAACTCCAAAATCGGCCCAGGAAGGCCAAGGCCCAAGCGGTGGAGGAAGGCACCGTGGCAACGGCAAAAATGGAGAGAGAGAGAGAGACTTTTGACTTTGGGCTTGCGGAAAACGGAGTCACGGCCTTGGGGCCTGGCCTACGAAAGCTGCCGGCACAGCTTGAAAAATTCATCCACTCGAGACCTGGCCGGCTCTGAACCTGTCCATGCAAGGTAAGAACTCCACTCCCCTCGGGACCGCCCCGCTGACAACCCACATATATATATATATATACTGAAGGACGTGGGCAGCAGGACTATGCATTCCGCCGACCATCCTCGCGCACGGCCAAGCCACACCCGAGCGATGCACTTGCATCAACGCCATCGGGCACCATTGCATTGAACTGCAGCTGCCAGCAGGCACGGCCTACATGCCAGCCTTGCGCACAAGACTGCAAGACTTGTCAAAGACAACTGCGGATAGCGACGACCATTGGGGCTGACACGCTTCATTGCTACCCTCCAAGCACCATAGAGTGAATAAGGAAAGATGTTGAAGGTCATCAGCGACGATGACATGGCACTCAAAAAGGCCATACAGTCAGCAAGTGCCCCGCTAGTAGGACAGGTTCGGGCTGTGGGGCTTAGACAGAGACTCAGAGAGAGAGAGAGAGAGAGAGACAGAGAGAGAGAGAGAGAGCGATATATACATAACATATATATATATATATATATATATATCCACAGCATCAATCAATGCAAACTGTTCGGTTACACAGACCTGCCCAATAAAAACTGGCACTCAAAACCAATTCTCGCATCATTCATTTGAGCCTTTCAGCCCAGTCCTTCCAGCACCATCTCGAATCCCGGTGTCTCGGGGAGCAGCTTGAAGTAGCGCTTCCGCAAATCGAAGACCCGGTACCAGAAGGAGTTGTCGTGGTACACGGCCCACGCGGACAACAGCCTGAAAAACGGAACAACTACAAAGAGGATATGTGTCAAAATAGAAACCTGGACCCCAAAGATGCGATTCTCCCTTTTGGCTTTCCCTTAAATTAAGCCGAAAAGGGTACCCTCCCAAAAAAGTGTAAAGAAACACACACTCACACATGCCTCTTTCGGAGGAAATCCCAGTCACGAATGATCTCCCACATCTGCCCAAAAGCCGAACCCGGGGATCACCCCAAACTCTCACCCCTTTCCCCTGTATCAACCTCAGCCCATGGTGCATCCAGGGCTGGGCTCGCAATCTCTCCGAAGAAAACAGAGCCTTTGGAAAGGCCAAGTCCCAGGAGTGGTGTCACAGCGAGCAGAACAACCAACCAACCAACCAACCAACCAACCAACCAAGAAAGCAAGCAAGCAAGCAAGCAAGCAAGCAAGCAAGCAGGCAAGCAAGCAAGCAAGCAAGCAAGCAAGCAAGCAAGCAAGCAAGCAAGCAAGCAACCTGCCTGCCTGCCTGCCTGCCTACCTACCTACCTACCAGCCAAGCAAACAAGCAAACAAGCAAGCAAGCAACCTACCTGCCTGCCTGCCTACCTACCTACCAGCCAAGCAACCCAGCAACCAAGCAACCCAGCAACCCAGCAACCAACTCTGCTCAATTCAATGAAATCCAATTCGACTCAACCCGCGCGAAAGCCAACCCTGCCTCCTTGCGAAGCTCTCCACCCACCCGCAAGGCGCAGGCTCCAAGACCCCTGCCGAGTCGCGGGTGGGAAGCGTGGGACGTCTCGTGGCTTGGAGGGAGCTCGAGTTGGGTGGCCGAAGAGGTGGCCAAGCTTAACCAAAACAAATGAAAAGGACACCTAGCGGAAGCAATGGCCATGCCCTGATCTTGTTGAACAAGAATCGCTTTACCGTTTAAGGTAAGCCAAGTTTGTTCCAAGAACCTCCTGACTGACTGAAGTTCCCATTTTGAGGGATACCAATGTGGCTCGGGTTCCGCGAAAACTTCGCGGAGACTTCAGCCTGCCTCTTGACCCTGGTTCCAAGGACTTCCAAGCCCGATGGCTGGTAGCCAGACATGGCTATGGGTCAAAATTAATCCAAGAGACCGCAGGTTCCCTGGTCCATGTTTCCATTTACCAGGGTTCCATTTTTGGTACCTATTTCTGACCCACAGCCATATGTGGCCTTTTGGTTAAATTGGTGGTTCCCGATGCTTATTGACAGGAAATGGACTCACTGGCAAGGTTGCTGACCCTGGAATCAAGGTGATCGGACATGAATCTCCGAATGCTGATGTCCACCCAGAGTCGCCGATTGAATCCACGCTCGAATCTCACGAAGCTTGCCCCCACCCACAACCCCACCCACAACCCCCCACCTACAACCCACCCGTCCCCGCCTGGCACCGACAGCCCCCCCTCGTTGAGCTGCGCTAAGATGTCCCCAGCGGCGGCCTTTAGCGGCGAGGGGCCTTCGGCCTGGCGAGCGCCAAAAAAGGGCCCGAAAGCTCGGATGCGGATTTCGGGCAAAAAATGGGCATCCTTTTTTGGTTGGTCGACTTAGGGGAACCCTTCCCAAAAAGAGAAAGGAAAAAAGGCACGACTGGGCAACTGGAAAAGAGAAAGCAAAGAGAAATCAGAAAAGAAAGCCAAGAGCCAAAAAAACAAAACAAAAAGGGAACCATACAAAGAAACCAAAGGAACACCCGGGGGAACAAAAACACAGGGAGAGCCGAGGAGCTTGGAGAACGCAAGAACTCCGCAAGAAGTTCCGGCGATTTTTTGTGCGGCCAAAGCGATGGTGGTTTTAAGGGGAACCCCGGTAGAACCGCTGGTCTGGGGGGTCCCCTTTGAGTGGGGGGGTAGGGAACACCCGCGTATCGAACCTTTCTCTGGTTGATTTTGAAGACAAGGGAACCCTCTGGTTGATTTTTTGAAGAAAAAAAAAACGGGGTGTCGCCTATAAACATGGGGCTTCCGACCACTTTGGGAACCCTGTAGGTGTTCTGCTTAGATCGGGGGTTAACGAGGTTAAGACTTGTTCCATGTCCGGAAGAGATTCATCAAACCTCGAAGTTTCATGCCATGTCAAAGGGTCGGGTCTTTGCTCGCATTTCGTGTTGGAAATATCATGACCCTAAACAGAGACTGGATTTAATTTTGGTTTGCCTTAGGGCCTTCACTTTGGGCCTTCACTTAGGGCCTTTACAAGAAGATCCACAGGGAGCGGGTCATTGCAAATGCTAGTCTCAAAGTCAGCCTAGGAAATTTCAAGGAGGGGTTCCCAAAATAGGAATCGGTCCCCGACAAGGGCAAGGGACCCGTTCCTTCTGGTTTCCCATCAGTTGCCAACCAGAAGGGGAGTTCACCTTCTGACAAACTGCTATTTGTTGCCTTCACCAATACCCAAAAACCCCTCTGTCCGTAGGTTCCATGATAGAAAAGGTTGTTGGCTCATGTTAGAAAAGGTTGACAGTTTCTAGAAGATACTCCCCTGCAAATTATGTGGCACCCAAGAATCATAATTAGTTGCAAAGGAACCGTTTCGGGGTTCCCCCCTGAGCCGCGGACCATACTACTTACAACTTGCTCAATTGGCCAGGCTCCCTACTTTGTCTTTCGAACATAAAAGATATTGGGTAGGCCCCCCATGTCCTCCACAAATATAAGAGGAACAACAGACTACCCTCCCACCAATTAACATGGAACCTGAACTTTCGGGGGTCCTTAAAGACCATGTTCCTTTCAACGGGTCCATGTTAATTGGTGGGAGGGTAACTGGAAACATTGCCCGTTGCCGCACTGGGCCCAGGCCGAGCTGCAAGGACGCAGTCGGCGGAGACGTTGGTGAGGCGGGCAAAGCGCAACTGAAGCGGGCGAGATGCTGGATTCGTTCTGCCCCCGAATGGGAATACCCAGGGAAGATGCCTCCCTTCAAAATGAGGAGTTGACATACCCCAATAAGGTAGGTATGGGCAGTAGGGGGTAACACATGCCTACCCTTTGTTCAGGTCATCTTTTGAAGAACCCGGTTTTCAGTGGTAGGTGCCTCCTTTTTTAGTGAGGGGTTGGCATACCCTATCATATCCTGCAATTCTGCTCCAAACTGGCGGCTTAAAATGTTGACTTGCTAAAGAGAAACCACCAGAAACCTGCCCCAAGAAAAGGAGGGTATTTGGAGAGGGGTAGGGAAGATATGAGCCGTCAACAACCCAATGAAATGTTGAGAACCCCTCAAAATGCAACCACTCTGACGGATGGGAACCGCCTGATTTGCTTCTAGAAAACTCCCAGACGAGAATTAACGAGTGAACGAGTGGATGTGCCAATGCATATGCAACAACTGCTCTGTTTGAGTCTCTTGTACTCGTTGTGTGTTTCCAGTCAGCGCTTATGGGCTGCAAGTTCGTTGCCAGTAGGACCCTGAATCAAACTGGCTCCTTCCAAAGTGAACATTTCAGGGATCCTCAAAATACTTTGGTGTGGCGTGCGCCAAACCTGGATAAACTTTGATGATTCTAATCGAACCCCTGTTGAATTTGCCTTTTAACCCTTTTGTTGGACCGAGCAGCCAAAAAAAGACCCAGGTGAAACCAGATTCCTGTGATTTTCATGGGGTAAGCACACCTATCAGTGCGTCTTTTTGGGAGTTGGTACCCGCCATTTTGGAGGGTACTCTAAAAAAAGGAACACCGGCCATAAAACCTATTCTCACTTCGCCCTGCCTGGCTTTTCCCAAATCAAATGAAACGATCGCATTCCACTAATGGAGCTTCGTTTGAACGGGAAATGCCTCGGAAACCCCGCCATAAATCACCCCACGGCCTGTTTTGTCAGGGTGCTGTCAACCCCTGACCTAGAAAAGCTAGTCTTTTCAATATGATCCCCCCCATTTTGCGCTTTGTTTCCTGTTCAGGGAAACCAAACGAAGAAGAAGAAAAAGAAACTCCGAAAAGCTGCGGTCCACAGTTCGACCCCTCCGCGCAAGTCCCACGTTTTGTCCGCGCTCCGTCGGGCTCTCGCCAGGGCCCCGCGCGCCTGGCGGGGCCAGGCGTCCACCAGTTGCTGCAGCAGCCCGAAGACCGGCCACCCCGCCGCCAGCAGCGGCGCCCAGCGCAGCGCCAGCGTGGCCTCGAAGCTCCGATCGGAGCCGAGCGGTGAACCGCCCGACAGGGATCTTACGGACACCGAAAATGGCGTCCGAACTTGGGGCGGTTTCCGGAAAATAAAAAGAGGAAAACTTCTGGGCATGGTGGTCTTTCAAAATGGGGGTTCTTGAACATGAGGTGGGCTCTGAAAAGACGTTGTTGGGGGGGGGAGGGGGTTCGCAAAATGGCCCCCTGAAATAGTCCATGGCCTTTTAAGGGGTTGGACCCACTTAGGTGGACATCATTTGGAGACGTGTCTGTCGGGTAGAGTCTCTTAGAGGTTCCATCCATGCCCGCCTTTCTGGGGAGTGTAAAACCCCCGCTGTTGTAAAGGCATGGGAGTTGGGTGTAGGTTATGTTCTGATTTTGCCTGAAGGGAACCCTCCCCGGCCAAAAAGTAGCCGCAGGGGTTCCAACCGCTTTGATTTTCTATCGTACTCCTGGAGAGTCTACCCCTCCAAGTCAGCTCCCCTCTTTCCCTCTGGCTTGGAGTTTTTGGGGTGCCTTTAGGTTTTTGGCTGGGGAAAAGCCAAGGGCTCCAAGATCACGCCAGCCAGCGAAAAGACGAACAAGAACAGTTCCCCCTCATGCAAAGGGAAGCTACAAGGGTTCTTCATTGAACCCATGGATTATGGAAGCGAAACCAAAGCAAGCTTGTCACTTCGAGCTATCAAGGGCCACTGAATCCAAAAGCACTTGTTGCTTCAATGCTGTTCATTTGCTTTGAAGGGCCTAAACAATTCGTAAGGGTACGTTAAAACCAAGTCAAGTCCTGATCCAAATTGCGTGTGTCTTGTGTTGCAGTTGGTACCCCGCGCCCTTTTGGTTTTAAAGGGAAGTCACAAGGAGAACCTACAAAGCGGAGTGTCAATGATCGTCTAGCCTCCTGTACTCAAGTTGACCCCAGATTGATGCTTTGATCATCGACCAGGGGCGGCATTAGCAAGCAAATGGGGTTGGGCGTGGTTGTTTGAAGGAACCACAGTGGTTTCCAAACAAAATGTCAAACCACGTTCAATTTGCTATATTTGTGTTTTATTATTTCTCCTTGAGGGGGGGGGTTCTCGCTATTTACTCAGTTGATCCTCCTCCAAAATTGGGAAACATCCCATGAAAAACCCACTGTTTGCTGGTATTTACCGGGGAATCCTCATGAACGGAGGTGCGAAACGGATGGATTTCGCAACCATCCACTGACAGCATCGTATCAGCGACTCCAATGCATCCCATCCGCCCTCGGCCTGCCACAAGCTCCCGAGCCGCCGCAGCAGTGGGCCAGAGGCTTTCTTGGGAGTGGAGGCGTCTACCTCCTCGGACGCAAAGCCGCTATCGACCCATGGACCCATGGCTGCAGTCAGAAGACGGTACCGAAGAAACGGGCCCCAAGTGGGAACACGGACTACAAGCTGCGGTCCCCTGGTGGTCGTTTTTTGACCCATGCGCATGATATGATTTGTCAACCCCTGCAAAAGGAGGATTCACTGTGAGAAAACCCAGTTCTCCAACTCTACCCCCCCCAAAAAAAAAGGCGTATGAGGCGGGTCATGGCCGAAAAGCCCTGAATAATTATTCAGAAACCAAAAGCACAGATAAAACCATTAAATCTACTAGATGTAAATATTATAAAATAGAATGAAAAAGAGAGACTTCTCATAAAGTAAAATAAGATGAAGATAGAAGTAAATAAGATAATGAATCCTGCATTTTTATTTGGCACAGCTTTTAACATAGCATATTGGCATAAGAAATACCATTCAGGTACTATATGTAAAGGAGTTAGTAATCCACATGCTTCTAATGCATTATCTGGATGTGAGAAAGAAGAGAACCCGGAGGTAATTTGAAGAAGATATAGATAGAGAATTAATATCTTTCCATAGAAATCTTTACTAATAATGAAGGGAAAAAATGCAATTTTATTATTAGTGGAATTCCTGTTAGGATTATTAGAAGATAGAAAATGTAGATTAAAAATATGATAAAGAAGAAAACCACAAAGAAGAAATGGAAATAGAAAATGAAAGACAAAGAACCTCTTCAATGTTGGATTGTAAACATAATGTCCTCAGTTGACACCGCACCCCAAATAGGAAGAACCTAGTTTCCGTGGCACAAACCTCTTTTCTAGTCCGGGCTTGACATCGGCTAAAAACGGTGTGTATTTGGCACAGGGGGTAGTCCTTTACGCCTGCATTCAGGCAAAGAAGCTCGGAACCCCAGCGTGCGTTACTCATCATTTGGCTGTGGCTCAAGAGAAGGTACCCAACATAGCACCTTGGTATATGGAAACAAAGACTGAAACCTGCGTAGCCCCACCATCCATTTAGCTGGTAACCCGAAGACCGTCCAAGTCACGGGTACGGTCACGTAGCTAGCCAAGGAATCTCCCTTTTAGGTAAAACCCCTGTCTGAGGAGGTATTCACCATTGGGACCATGAAAAACCCGATTTGTCAGGAAATCAAAAGCGCATATATGGAGCAGGGTAAGTTCCTGAAATGAGTAACTCCCCAGGGACTTTGCCAACAATTGTTCGAGCTTTCATGGGCACTGCTCAGCGGGAAAGGGAGCGAACAATCTGGAGATCTAACTGGCGAAGTTCATCCCATTCACCAAACGAGAACCAGCGTGATTCACCCTTCGCTCACCAAAAAAAAAAAACGGGAGAGCCACGCCCTCGGCTCGGCTCGGCTGGATCGATCCTGTCGCAGGAGCAGCAGGTGGAAGCACAGCGCCGCAGCGGCGGCCTCCTGAAGGTCCGACGCCGCTTGGCCCAAGCGGGGCAGCACAAGCAGCGCCCAGCGGGCGCGGTTTGACCAAAAAAGAGAACGGGTAAGGGGCGTGATTAAAGGCTTGGAGAGTGGCGAATGCAACTGGGACATCCCGAGACCTGTCCTAGCAATTGCTGGGATTAGGGTGGGGCGGGCCCGGCGGTGAGAGCGGCTCAATGGTTGTCACAGGGCCGAATACAGCGGCTGTTTGGGGCTAACCGGTCTCCTGGTGGATGCCTCTTTTGGCGTGACAACCATGGGAATGCTCCCCGCACCCACTTTTCCCCAAAGGGCGCCAGGAATCGAAACATGCATCAAAAACATGCATCAAGTTCAAGGGCCCGCGTTTGGTGGCCAGAAAAAGAAAAAAAATGAGCTTTTGATAGCGGATGGTTTCACCCGACCTGCTATCAAAGAACCCAGCCAAGTGATCGGGGTTCCTTCTACAATGATTCCCCCCCCCTCAAAGTCAACTAGGGGTTCTATCCTGGGTTAGCGTTACCAAACAATCTCCTTTCAATGAACAAGTACTCATTGCTCAGTGGTCTCACAATGGCATCACAGGAAACTGTCCACCATGATCTTCTTAGGTCAAGAAACTTGGAAGGAACCCCCACAAAAAGACCTGGGCATTTTTCCCAACCATCTGGCAACCATGTGCTTGTGGGTTTTCTGGCCTCTTCTTCTCGCTCTTGCTCCCCTCTGGCTTGAGCCAGTCCTCTGGGTTGCTGGAGGCCACGACCCGGCGCACATCCTGCAGCAGCAGCGCAAGGCACTGCGGTCCGCACCTCAGAGCCGCGCGCGGAGCGCGCGCGGATCCAGGGGCGAGAAAATGGAACCCCCAAAATGGCACCTTGGCATATTTTGAAAGACCAGCACCTGCGCCCGACCTGCAAAAACAAAAATCTGGGATGAATCATTTGGTCCTCCCAGCATGGCCGGTCCCACCTCCCCGTGCATCGGCTCCCGGTGGCGGCGCCTCCGTGGCTCCCTCTTGGGCCGACCGTGCGCCACCCGCAGCAGCCGCAGCTTCAGCCCGGTGGCGCTGGAGGACGCGCCCGGAGAGGCGCCTGCCACGCGATCCGAGTGGGGGTGGGGTGGAGTGGAGTGGGGGGGTGGGGGGGGTGGGCTGCTTTGGGAAAGGTACGGTCAGGGTTACGTAGGGTGAGTTCCAACTTGGGGGCGTACCAAAAATTGTGTTTTACCACATACTAGCTGATTTTGCAGGGTTTGCACTGAAACAATGCAAACCCGTCTTGGCGAATGGCAAGGAAATGGACGGGTCTCGGCCAAAAATGTTGGATAACGATCTTTACTTGGATTCAACATGCTTGCTTCAAAGCATTAGAAACCATGTCCTTTTAATTGTTAATATCCTGTAGGTGAGTGAATGGCCGCCAAGCCTTCCCGAAAAGCCCGTTCCTTTAGGAGCATTCCCCCCAATCCGAACTCTTTCTGTGGACGAACTCCTGCACTGCTCCCTCCCTCCCCCCCTATCCCTCCCCCCCCTCCCCCTCCCCCGGAACCCCTGAAACCAAGAACCCGCCTCTAAGCCGCGCCCGCAGGCAGCGCCGCGCCAGGCCCTCCAGCCGCTCCTCCCAACCCGCGCAGTCCGCCGCCCAGAGCTCCGGCGCCGACTTGAAGCCCGGCACCAGCAGCTGAGCCTCGGCGTCTCGGCGGGGAAAAAAAAGGCGGGACCAGTTGGGCAGCGATGGACCGATGGGCGCGTCAGTTTTTTGTTTTGTGTGTGTGTGTGTTAATGTATATATGTATATATAGTCTGGTTTATTTATATATATATACATATATTTGGGGGGGGTCTGTGAAAGAAGGGGAAACTCGGAGGAAACAAGCCATTCTAGGGGTCCGTCCTTCGGAAAACTCAGATGGGTGGCGCGTCTTCGTGTTTTCGGAGTTGGCAACCCTTTAAGGGGGGGTTCTAAAGGTAACCCCTTTTTTGTTGTTTTGCTTTGTTCAAGGGGGAACCAAGGACAGTTGGAAAGTAGCAGGCCGTGAAACTGCAAGCAGAAATTGCTTCTCATTGGAGGTACCCCCCCCTTTTTCTTGTGCGTGGGTGGTCCCGTGGATTACTTTTGACCCAAACGGGTGTCTAGAAATGGTGAACCCCTTTTCGGGTTGGCCTCCAGGAAACTCAGCCGAAACAAGCCAAAATGAGGGGCCCCTGGATTTTCTGTTTTTGGGAGTTGGTACCCGTTTGTTGGTGGTGTCTAAAGAGGAGACAGGAAAATCGAAATGTGTGACGGTCCAAGCTCGAAAAGACAACCACAGATGGGTTTTTCACGATTGCACCGAGATTCTTCGGTGAACCCCAATCGGCAAGACACGCAACAAGTGGCAGCTTGTTGCTGGTTGAAAGAAAAAGAAAAAGGAAACCCAACAAGGCAAGAAGTGAAAAAGGCAAGCGAAGTCTGGCAATTGGTTGGACCCTATTTTCTTCCGGAGGCAGCGATCTACAGTGGCTAGAAACCCTGAGTTTCTCCCTCTGCCCCCCCAAACAAGCAAAAGATCGATGACCTTTCGTAGGTTTGGAAGGTCAAGGGCCTCATTGGTTTCGAATGGTCTAAAGGTCTAAGGTCTAGGCTGAGGGTCTTTTCAAGGCTTCATGGTGTGGACCTCTTGTTTCCCAAAGGCCCACGTTGCGTCCCGTCGCTCAAGTCTCTCAAAGGGGTCGGAAGGGGTCCCATGGGAATCCGGAGGTTCTCACCATCGGCTCTGCCGTTTCTTGAGAATGCCAAACAAACCATCCCTCGCTCGAAGCGGATCAACCGGAACTCAGTCAGCCAATCTGCCAGATTTTCAACTTCTCCGAACATTGGATGAAAATGAGGCGATTCTCCCGAGAAAAATAGCCCCCTAGAAACACAACTTCCATAAAATGGGATGCCCCCCTCCCTTTTCCACCATCATCACTTTATTAGATGTTCTTTTGTCTCAAATTGGGCGACCCCCTCAAAAAAAAGATGCTATTTATCTTGTTTATGCTGTCCCCTTTGCATCCACCAAAACTCAAGTTTCCGCATTTCAAAACAAGAAGCTGAAATACAAATCCACCCCAAAACGTGGGGCCCCGGTGCCGAGCCGAAAGCGCGAAAGCGACGCCAAGTGCTCAACTGAGCATCGCATCCGGGCGTGGCTAGGACAAGCACCAAAAGGCTCCACATGCGCGCATGAAGCCACGGGAGCTCAAAGAGACATTTAGGCCGGAAATGGTCAGGGCTTCTGGGGGGTGTAAGTGTGAATGTTTGGGAGATCAGGGAAAAGGTGGGAGGTGGGAGTCTGTGTCTGTGGGTCTCCTGCGTAGTGGAAGCTCGGCAATCAAAGCCGAGGTCAAAGTGAAGGCTTGTTTGATTGGTACACAGTAGGTGAGTAATGAAAACCAAAGAGCTACCAAGGCGGCGAAGGCACTGAAGGCACCGCACCCATTTTTGGTTGGGACGGTCCCTTTACTAACCTTTGACTGCCCGGCTTTTGATTGTGGCTCAGGTGAATCTTTCAGCTTGCCTTGCCCTTTGCGTTCCTTGGTTCTGACCACATGGCAAGGCCTGGCTAGCCCAATCCTTCGACGGATAGAAAGCGCCGGCCAAGACCCCCTGCATCCAATTGGCAAACCCCCCATCAAGCCAGCTTTTTCATCCTGGGGTCATCTTACTTTCTGTCAAAATGCAGTGTTTAGAGCAGATCCGGCCAGCTAACCTGCAAATCTGGGGTTGACCTTGTGATTGTTCTGACATCGCCAGGCCTGTCAACTTTGGGGGAGAAACTTGACGGATCACGGCAAATGCTTCTGCTTTTCGTTTGTCTTCCCGCTTTTGTGGTGGTTTTGAAGCGAAGCCGTCAGGACAACCACCATTTCGAAAAGCGGATCCCAAAAAAAGAGACACCGAAATGAGCACAACCAAAAGCAGGAATCCGTCGGGCACGCGTGGCTTCTCGGGCAAGCCCCGACCCAAATCAAGCTGAACTTGTAATACTGGCCCCACGGTTCTAGTATGGGCGGGACGAAGGCCTGCCAGAAACGATCACAAAGGAACCAGAAAGGGAGGTGGTGCCCATCCATTAGTTGATGAATACCACGCTTCAGAGCAGGCTCTGGCCCCGCTGATCCAGTTGCCCCCATTTCGTTTAGTCATTCCCTTGCCTTCAGAGGTCACTGAAGTTCTCCGAGTCAAAAGTTGCAGCTTACTGGTGGCTCCCAACCCAACTTCGCCACTTTGGGACGTGAAAGAAACCCCTCGCCATGCTTTCCCACAGCCTCTGACACCAGTCGGGGACTTGCACGGGATTCCTGCGATCGGGCTGGGCGGCTGGTCAGCCCACTTACAAGCCTTGGTCTGTCCAGCTGGCAAGAGGAAACCCCAACATCTTTCACAAAGAGTGGGTGTGGACCCTTGCAAACCATAGCCATATTTTTTTTGTTTGGAGAAAAAAACTGAAGACTCGCAATCGATACACAAGGGATACACAAGGGATACACAGCGGCATGAGTGCTTCAGTGCTTCCAATTTGATGCGGACCGCTTTTTGCTTGGCAAAGGGAAACCCACAGGAAGCAACCGTGTTAGGGTCTCACTCACTGGGAGAAACCTGCATGTAAGCATGACAATAAGACCCAGAGTAAACCGGTAGCAAATGGACCACCTTAACCGATAGCCAATCTTCAGGCGCATTGCTATGGTGCAACTGCAAAAAACTTAGACCCAACGAAACCCTTTTGATGCTGTTGCTGCATGCTGAAGCTGAACAGAACCAAGAAACATAATGATAACTATGACAATAATACTACTACTACTAATAATAATAATAATGATAATAAACAAACATGCCAAGACCGGTGAAGAAAAGGTCCTGCCGTTACCATGTGGCAAAACTCCCTGAGTTGAGCCTATTTCCGTCAGGGCTCTGGCGCTGACTCTGAATCCCAAATGGCGGCCGGCTTTTGGCAAAAACCGAGCAACCGCTAACATCACTTCGCCCTACAAATTTTGACATTCGGAGACGAACCCGTTGGATCGTCCAAGGTGTGTACTTTTCGTGAAAAGTGGCGGCGGGCAAATGACGAAGTCGTTTGACGCCGACTGTCCTCGAGAACGTCGACTTCTCCCGACCAAACGTGCAGCTGGAACCCACTGAACGACTTGAGTCCTCCCTTTTAATCACTACCCCCGAAGCAAAATGGACTACAATCGACCAAGGGACAAACGAGCGCACACCTGGAAGATTCAGGAAGAAAAAAGACACAGGATTCCCTCCCATCTCCCAAGTAAACATCACCCCTATCCAGCACTGTACTCAGTTCGGCCTTTCCAAAAAGTGCTTTCTACCAACCTTCAACCAAAAAAATCACCCAATGTTCCACAATCACCAACACAAACTATCGCTAGAACTCTGACAACATGTCAAAAACAAAACCTCAAAACACCCCTTTGAATTGAAACCATCTCTGGGCTCCGAACAAAAAGGCACCCCCAAAGCCTCCGCTCGGCGAAACCACGACCTCGGCCCCAAGCCGGAGTCCTGCGGCGCCCGTCGCACCGGCCTCGGCGCGGCTTTTTTTTTTCGCGTGGCCGAGGCGTTGGGCGCGGCTTCTCTGCCATGTCCCCAAGCAGCGCTCCATTTCGGTGGCTCCGAAGGAGTTCCCTCCGTAAGCAAAGTTTGGGATGCCTCCCAAGCAGACCAAGCCATCTGCTCCCAACCTGTTTCAGACCAAAACCCGAAAAATGGTCGAAGCGGTCCCTCATTGGCCCGAAGGGGGATCCCCCAATGGGAGATTCCGGCTCAGAATCTCGTTTTTGGGGGGTTTTGAGTGGAGTGTATAATACACAAAGGACCGAAACTGAAAATGGGATTGCTATGAGAAGATAAACCATAAACCATGTGGTTCTCATCAAACTACTTGAGGTATACAAGAACGACCAAAGACAATTTTACACCTCACAACAGTCTTACAACTAGGCACTGCATTGCTGGGCCCCTCGTTCGCAGCAAACGGTTTTGTGGGCGAACATGCAGCAGCAGCAAAAAAAAAGCTCCGAGAATCTGAGCCAGGGGCGCGGTCTTGATGGCGCCTAGCGCACCAAGCATCAAGCAAAAGCTCCATGGACTTTGCGCTTAGTGAGCGATTACTTAGCTGACACCGACAAAAGGTGACTCTTGGAGGAACCTCAGCGGTACTGGCACCCAAAATCCAACTGATGCAGCCAAAAGGACTCAGCCTCCCTCGAATTGGTGGGCGGTTAAGTGGATTCCTAGTTATCCTCTACAACAACCAGGGGTTCAAATCCAAATCTGCCCGGAGTTACAGGAAAAGCTTGGCTGAATGATAAGACTTCGCCATCTGCATGGAGTGGCTTCCTTATTGTGCTGCAGCCTTGCATGCTACGATGAAGGCAACCGTATTCCAAGATGGTCAAACACATCATGGGTTTGTCTTTTTTGAGGGTACCCCTGCTTTGGTGTTAAAGAGAAAGACACCCCCCTCATATCCCCTGAACACAGGCTAGACGCATTGATCCGGGTGACAAGCTGCCAGTAACCATCCAATCCATGCAGTACATCCTAGAAATACGAGGCAAACGTTCGTTAGCCAGTCTAACTATCTGTCTGTTTGCTTGTCCAGTTTGAATGACACTGTGCAGTCGCATTCG